AAAGACCAAATTCGTTACAACATTAACGGAGAAGAGTTTGTATTCGACGTCCAGATTGATAACGGCCATGATATTATTGCATTTTCGGCTGTTATGAGACCGAATGTCACTTTTGTTAGACAAGATTTTTAAATATAAATGACAATTTTAAAGGTTTTATATTAAAAGCCCAATTTTTAAAAATAATAAAAGTGTTTTTATCAATAAATTTCAAAAAAAATTTTTGAAAAATTTAAACCATCTATCTGATCAATAACATAATTATACCCAATAACATCACGCCAATCATCATTTCCACCCCCAAGTTTAAAAATAGTACCAAAAAAATTTAAAAAAATGCCAAAAAGGCTTACGTCACTTGAGGTTCCAAGGACGTCTCCGATCCAAGTACTAATCAAGCGCACCGTTACTTGCCAGATCAGGATGGCGTGCATTCAACGGGTTGAGGGTGCACACATGACATTTCTTTCTCTTTCATTTTGGGATGAATTTTGAAGTTAATAGGGATACAGACTTACAAGAAAATTACACCAGAAGAATATTGGGTGTACTGTAATTCGCCAGGCAATGCCATTTACCAGATTGTTAAACTAGTTTTCCAAATCATAGAATCTTTAATGCTCTTTCATTCTACATAGGTCTTGTTCTAAAAGCTGAGGACTATTTAGTGCAATTCCCTAGTAAAGCCTACTAAGTTTAAGTTTATTTAGGCCTAAGTTAGGTCTACTAACAGGGAAGGTACCCGACCTGCAACGCTCAGATTTCGTTAAAATTTTTTCTATTGAAAGATCGTGTGAATGTAAGATCTTATGCAAAATTCTAAGTTGCGGTTTGCGGCCAGCCTTGAGAAAATCGAGATCAAAAAATCGCGTTTTGAATTTCCCGCCAAAATGGCATAGTGTTTCAAGCATATAACATCCTCATTTTTTTGACTTTTAATTATTTTACTTTAATATAATGATAGAAAAGCTTCAAATAAACCTGCAATTTTAAATTTGTAAGCCTATCTTGTCTGGAACATCAAAAAACGTGCTTGCAACACAATGCCAAAGTAGCGGGAAATTTAAATATATTAATTTTAAAACTTAAAACCGTAAGCTAAGATTTTTTCTATGTGCTACTGGTACTACAAAGAATCCGTATAAAAAGTTGAGCTAATTCTGAGAGTTGCAGGTTGGGTACTTTACTTGTAAGCCTAAGATTGCTAACACTAACAATCGTAAGCATAAATATACTAACCATAAGCTTACTGAGTCTAAGGCTAGCTACTAATCTCTGTGGGGGGATTCCCAGAATATTAGGCCGGGCCTACTTTTTAGGCCCCGTCTAAATTTGGCCAAGAGCAACCCGGCCGATCCCCATGTCTAATCCCGTCCGATATGGCAAGTTAAGCAGCGGAGTGCTTGATTAGTACTTAGAACCGAGACTTCTTTGCAATCTCAAATGGCGGACACATTATTGACATTTCAAGTTACCTTTTGTTTTATGGTATTATTTTTAGAATTAAAGGTAAAAAATGTGACTGTTCTTGAGTATAATTATCATATGTTATTCATCAAACAAATGACCCAAATTTTTCAAACTTAAATTTTTGCAATTTATTGATAAAAAACAGCTTCTTTATTTTAAAAATTGAGCTTTGAATAAAAAAATCGTTTCGTATTCTTTATATTTAAAAATCATGCATGACAAAAGTGACGTTAGGGCTTGCAACGGCCGAAAATGCCATGATATCTTCACAATCATAACGTCTAATCTTCCACACGAACTCTTCACCATTGACACTGTAGCGAAGTCGGTCTTTGCTTTCGAAGGACAATCCAAAAATATTCTCCTTATCAGTGTAGAGGGTCTTTACTTCACTGTATGTATCATCTTGTGGAGAATTTTTATCGTAATCCGTTACAACAGCAAGGTAGGGACTTGTGCCATTAGCGTAGCAATGTATGTGGAATACGATATTTCCTTCGATACAATAAAAATCGACACCAAAGCGAATTCGGCCATGGGGATGAACGCCGATTGTAAGGTTTTGGCCTACTCTCAAATCTTCTCTTAACAAATATATTTTGTCCTGATGATCCCATGCACTTACAAATGGGACGAAAATCTAAAAAAAAATAATCTAGATACGTAGCAAACATAAATTGTTAATACTCAATAGGAAACTATTATCATCACTCTATCCTACAGTAATTAATAGCTATTAAAAACTTTCTAAAACCTACCAAAGCCAACAGAATTTGAACCAACATAGCTTTAAATGTGATAAAGTGAAATAGACAAATACTTTTTAAAGCTTTAAATTTCAAAATTAAAGCTTTAATAATTTCACAACCACGTTAAAATTTTTAATATTATTATAGATACAAACAGGACCCAATTTTCTTAATTAACTTTAGCCTTACAAGCAGTGTCGGGCGGGGACGTTTGGTCTGGGGGCGGGGGTCGAAAAAATCAAAAATGTAGCTTACCTGTGCCGGTGCCGATTTTTAGCAAAAATTTTTTTCGGAAAATCCACGGGGGACCACGTTCAACTTTTTTCGAATTTCTGGGGGGGGGGTTCCGGTTCCCCCCCCACCCCCCCAGCGCCTGCTTACGAGGGAATTACATTCAAGGAAATGTTTTTGATCCTGTGGACCGATATAGACCGCAAAAAAAATTTACAGGAAAACCTTTTTTTCCCGATAACTTTTTTATGTTTTTTCATACATTAGACGTATGCTTAAGCTTTTTAGACTTAGCCTTAATAAACATATGCTTCGTACGCTTAGGTTAAGTTGTGTATATTAGAAACTTAGAAAAACCATTTTGAAAACTAACGTTTAGAAGAAATACGGAGCTACAGCAGATGGGGAAGGACGAGAGCTAGGCTAAGTTTAAATCAAAAGCTAAAGCAAATTGGGCCTTGTTCACAGCTAGATGCAGGTGTCTGTAGTAGACCATAACAAAAAATTAATGTGGTTTTGGACTTATTAAAACATTAATTTTAAAAGTTAAAGCTTTAAAAACCATTCATATACTCCTATTTATCACATTATTGGTTCAAATTCTGTTAACTTTGGTAAATTTTAGAAAGTTTTTAATAGCTATTAACTACTGTAGAAAAAATTATTGATAATATTGAGTTGTTCAAATAATTCTGTGCCTCTAACCCCAAAATTAGTTTTGGGAGAGGGCACAGAATTAGTTGGACAACCCAGTAGTGTTCTGTTGAGTATTGACAACTTAATTCTTGTTTGCTAAGTATTAATCATGGATTAATTTTTGTTTTTTAGACGTTCATCCCACTTGTAACGGCATGGTTTGATTGGATTGATAAGCAATACCCTCTTAAAGAACCTTTGAAGGTAGGCCAAAACCTTACAATCGGTGTTCATCCCCACGGCAAGATTCACTTTGGTGTCGATTTTTATTGTAACGAGACTGATATCATATTCCACATGCATTGTTACGATAATAGCTCAAGTCACCGTACTGTGGTCACCGATTACACTCCAGCTACTGGTAATACCGACGAATACATTGAGATAAAGACCCTCTACACTGACAATGAAAATGTTTTTGCCATTTCTTACGAAAGCAAAGACCAAATTCGGTACAGTATCAATGGTGAAGAGTTCTTGTGGCATGTTAAAGTTGATAACGGTCAAGATATTGTGTTCTTTTCAGCCGTTGAAAGCCCTAATATCACTTGTTTTGCACATGATTTTTAAATATAAATGGAAATGTTTAACGATTTTTTTAGTCAAAGCCAAATTTTTAAAATAAAAAAGCTGTTTCTTATCAATAAATTTCAAAAAAAGGTTCTAAATTTGTAAAATCTTAGAGATAAACTTATATTTAGTCAACTTAGGCTTAAGTCTAATAGGCTCAGGTTTTATAAACTTAGGTATTGTAGGTTCGGCTTGGTCGACTTAGGCTTAATAGGCTTAGTATTATGCAATTGGGTTTAGTAAACGGAGGCTTACTAGTCTTAATGAATTCAAACTTGGAAACCTTACGTTTAATATGAATAATCAGTTGCAGTAGATAAAATAATATATTGCGTTGCAAAAACAAAGAGTAAAATTGCCGTAATTGAAGTTATTTTTTGGGTCGTTTTACATCGAGGCAAATGTTACAAAATTCTTAAAAATTGCACAATAAAAGTTGCGCAATACAATTTCTTGCAATTTCTCTAAGGCTATCTCGTTATAACATAAAGTTAGGTAATGCCGCAAAAAATAATGTAAATCTTTTGTTAATTTCATTGGTTTTTTTAGAGGAACGTATGTTTCCTAATTTGATACTCAAATTTACCTTACCATACATACACTGTCTGCTTTTCTAAAGAACCTGATCTGTCATACCTTAATCACCCCTACCCAAATTTAAAAGACCTGTTTAATCTTAATTTTAAAAATTTTTAGCACGTTATTTTAGGCTTATTAATCAAATTTTCTTTTTTTTCATTTGTGCTAGCCACGATAGAAGAAAAAACTTACTTCATACTATTTTCGACATCGACAACCATCTTCTTGTTGTGCTTTTCATGTGTTTCTCATCGTCAACATTAATCTCCCTCTTCTTTAAAGTTCCATCTTGTTGTTTAGCACCATGAAAATCCTGTAAAACAATATATTAAACAAAAAACTGCCGTTACGTAGAAACTATGTAAACCTACCTTTAATTTTTTTTATATTTAAAAACTCCATTTTCTTGATCGGGAAGGGTAAAACCTGAATTTTTTTTGCGAAATTTCGAAAACTTGTTTGCTAATTTATTTCAATATGCCAACGGTTTTGTTTTCGTGACGGGACCAAGCGACAAGTCAAATGTAAAGTGCTTTCTGCTCAACAACAGTATAAAATGACCCAGATAGTACTATTCACAATAATATTTATTCATTTACCCATTTGAATACATCAACAACATTAAAACTTTTCAATTGTTCTTAAATTTCATTTTTTAAATTCAATTCTATTATAAAAAAATTATTTTTTCATCCGTTTTCAGCTTCAAACACCATCTTGTGATCCATCGCAAAAGTAATCGACATGAATAAAGGTTCGTTCCACAAACTCCAGCATGTTCAACTTCTTCTGGAGGTCTTCGCAAATGTCGTGAGTCTCTTTCAATGGAAGAGTTTCATCTAACACAACATGTAGCTCGACGAATGCCTTCTCTCCGACATGATAACACATAATGTGGTCGAGACATTTGATTCTGGGGTCGTGGGAGACGGAAATGGCCAAGATGCGACTCATATGTTCTTCTTCAGCCCTTCGACCAACAACCAATGGTATATGTTCAGAAGCGTTCGTGAACCAGGATATGGCTATGAAGGTACTAAAAATAAATAGTTTTAGCGTAAAATAGCAAGAACTTTCTTTACAAAGAAAAAAATGGCAATAACTTTCATTAAAAAACAAAAAATAGCAAAAACTTTCTTTTAAAAACAAAAAAATGCAATAAATTTACTAAAACAGACTTACCATACTAAAATAGCACCAATAGGATCAGCATAAGGCCAGACATAGTCTCCGAGGACGGCACCAGCTACAGCTGCAATAATGGTAATAATGTCATTTCGTTGGTCCAACGCTAACACTTTCGAGTTAGTTGTGCCATGACTGTAACATACGAACATGACAACCGACTTGACAATGATGGCAGTACCCATTAAAGCTAGGGTTGGTATGTTGGCATCTGGGCCTATCTGAAGGTATAAAAAGCCTTAGTTTAAGCAAACATGTCGCGACCATCTCATCGCGAGGTGTTCCCGCATAATTAGACCCAGCACGGATAACGTTGGACAACAACACCATTCGAGCTACTATTCAACAGCAAAGCTCAATGACACTACAAATGACGTTTACAAACGTCACCATAAACACATTTTACAATTCTACAAAATGTGTGGTAGAGGTAGCCAGCGCTCTATAAGGCTGTCGAGATTGCCACCAAGGAGATGGAGATACTGTTCTTTAACCCAGCGTTTACGGTAATCGCGATAATTGTATTGGTTGCAATTATTTATTGGCTCAGCCTCAATTTTGGACAACCACCCGCAGTCCCCGTTGTTTACGAACGCTACACCAAAGGCCTTCGCTCAGGCCAAAAAACAGACGAACATTAGCATAAAAAGGAAAGGAAAGAGACTCCTGATCGCGCTGAAGCCACAACCTCCCTGGCCAAATCGATCGGCATATGTTAATGACCCCCTTCACTTCGCTTGCAATCAATCATTCTTCCATATCTTTATTCACCGTGAGGTCGCTTCCCTTTTTTCACCCTCTTTTCTGTTAATTTAACAAAAACTGTCCAAATTTTCAGTCACTATTACAATAGTTTTAATGGTTCACCCGTGATCGATCGTTATGTCAATCCTAACTCTCTCTTACATTGCAGAACGAGAACAACAATGGAAGAATAACGAAGAGTATACTCAATCCTTCGTAATTTGGGGATGCACACCGAGCTTACCATCTGAACTCCATGGAAGAAAATGTTTCGTGCCAAAGCCCTAGAGCTTCATCTAGACAAAGAAGACTTCAGGGCCTTGTGTACGTCGTTGACACAATTGTTGACGGAAGCGCACCAGCTGTTGGGCGATTTGGATGACGATGAGTTCAAAGCCTTTCTTCGGCGATGGCAGAGAACCTGTCCCATCCCCCCTGCTGGAGCTTCTCGGCCCTTTTTGACAAAACCAACAAGTTGGAAGAACAATTGAAGGAGGCCAACGAAGAAATCGACGAGCTTCGTCGAGACCTCACTCAACAGCAAACCTCAACGGCTCGACTCCAGGACCTCAACAATAGACTGCAAAAGAAGGAGCAGTTCATCCAAACCTTGATAATGGAAAAACGCGACGTAGAAGAACAACTAGACCAATCGGACCAAGCCGTAAGGGCCCTTGGCCTCAAAGTTCACGAGGTTACCCAAGAGCGAGACGCACAAAAACGGGACATCGCCCAATTGAGAGAACGTACAAGAGACCTCCAACGAGCTTACGAAGCCGTAGAAGACGTCATCCACCAACGTGACCGGCAGATTCGAAGGCTCCAATAAGACCTCCAAACACGGAATACGCTTATCAAACGACTCCGTGACACAGTCGACCGAGACGTAATGGTTGGAGACAGTGCTGTTGACTAGTGGCACTTCTTGGTCGGGGGGAGTGTGGCGACGTCAGCGTCGAAGATAAAAAAGGCATTTTTCCTCCCGGTTTTAGTATCACCGTGGTATGCCAATTGCCAGACAAAACAATTTTTAAGATTATCCCACAATTTTAGGCTTAGTACTCAAATTCAACTTACAGTACCCATAACAATAGCCTCCACCGACTGAATGATCATCATAATATTGGTAACACCCATGAAGATGGAGCATATAATCACAGACATCAACTCCAAACGTTGACGGCCACGAGGATACTTGTGACTGTTGGTATGGGTAATGAGGTATACTGTGATGAAGACGATTATACTGCTTACTATGTCCATCGACGAGTCCACAAAGGCACTAAAATGTCGTTTTTGAAATTTTTTTATATAATGCCCTATAATTTTTTGCCCCGCCCTACCTTACCCTACCGTACTCTACCTTACCCTATCATGCGTTACCCTACCTTACCCTACTCTACCCTCCTCTACTTACCTTATCCTGAATTACCTTACTCTGCCTTACCTACACTGCCTGACCTTACTCTACCCTGCCTTACTCTACCCTACCTTACCCTTCCCAAAATATCTAACAACCCTCAATTCAGTCCTCAAATCCTCCCAGCACCACCTCAACCCTACCTGATAACCGAGTACGAGCCGCTTAAGAAAGCGGCCGTTAGATTGCCGGCCAAGATGAATAAGTTCATGATGAAAATGATTGTTGCAAACCGGCTGTCCCATTTCAAATTCTTCTTGTATTCGAGATTGGCCTCTTCTATGTTCCTTTCATTATTATCTGGATGAAGCTTGATTTCATCTTCCTGGAACAAGCGATTCAGACGTTCTTGGCGGTTGTTGTACTGAAAGTCATGATTTTTTAAAATAAATTTATAAAACATGCAAAACAATATTACTTAAAACTAAAAATTGTTATTATATTGGGAGCCAGACGTCCGGTACTAAGGTCTTACTAATTGGGGCAATCTTACCAGCCCAATTTTTTTTATTTCAAACCGTCCCTCCTTCCTCTCCTGCTAAAAAACGTAATTAACGTACCTCTTCAAGCCCTTTGACTCGTCGTTTATTTTCAAAATAGTATGTGATTTTTGGAAACGTTATCATCTTCTGAAAAAAATTTATAAAAAAAATTATAAAATATCAAATGCAAAGTTATTTAAAATACAAAAAATGACCACGAACCGCTCATATTAGCGCAAAAATTGAAAGTTGTTACCTAAAAAATACTAAAAAAATATACAACAAAGTTTCTTGTAAACGAAACAATACTAACAACGAACGTATTTTACCGATAAAATTAAAATTGACAATAAAAAATCATCCCAAAAAAATGTAAAATAACCTTTTTCTACCCGTAAATTTAAAAATAGTACCAAAAGTAGTTAAAAAATGTAAAAAGTGCGTACGCCACTTGAGATTCCAAGGACGTCTCCGATCCAAGTACTAATCAAGCGCACCGTTGCTTAACTTGCCAGATCGGACGGGATGGCGTGCGTTCAACGGGCTATGGGCGTACACATTGGTCTCTCTTTCGTTTTCTTTCTCTTTCCTTTTGGGATGAATTATGAGGTTGATATGAGTATAATAGAGTTATAAAGTAGTTTTTGAGTAATAAAAATCGAAAAATTAAAAACACTTGTAAAAAATAATTCTCCTTTTTAGAACTTATCATAAAAAATTGTTTTTTCGTGGAAACAACTACGAACTACAACTTTCAAAACGAAAAGCATTGAAATTGAAAGAGTTCCCGCGATAACGTTGTGAATGGCGTGTTCTATATATAACTTAAGTTAAAATTACAGAGAGTTTGCGATAAAGTCGTATAACAAATCACACAATTATCTTACTCTAGCTTACATTAATCTGTCATAGCTTACCTTACAACCCCCATAATCTACGCTACCCAACTTCACTCTAACCTACCACACCCTGCATTAACATAACCTACTCTATTCTACCCTCCCTTAACCTACCCACCAAACCCTGTCTTACCATACCTTAACCCTCCCAAAAAACAACTATAAAAATCAAAATTTAAAACAATTTAAATTAACTTTATTGACCTTTGTGTTCAATCGGTAAGTTTTAAATACAGAAAGATTAATTCCGGTCAAATAAATCGACTTCTTTGTGCCAGACAGTGCAATTGATGTTTGTTTTTTCGAATACAATTTTCAAAAACTGACTTTAAAAGACAAACCAAAGAAGATGAAAAGAAATATTTTACAGTATAATTTTTAAGAAATAAATATAAAAACGACTTTTAAAAAGAAGACTAGAAAAGTCACTTCAACTTTTGATAAACTGTTATCACAAATTTAGAAAACGGTTTTGTGTAATCGCCAAGAAAAATGACTGTAACAAACAAAATCAACTTGGTTTATAGTCAAAATTTTTTTATTTACAAAAAATTACATCTCATATTAAAATTGGCATTATTGACATCTTATCAAAAACTACAAAATTTTGCCTCAGGACAATAAGACTTCATATACATCATTACCTAAAATTCCAAGAACAAAAAACCTTACCGGTCATAGTTGAAAGCAAGTGCACCATTCTCTTTGTCAGCTGAGTTAACTTGAGCATTGACAACGTCTGATCAATGGATAAACTTCGGCTTGCTACCTGAAACAACAATTAACAGTAAATAGTCAACGATTTAATTTTGGAATTGACAGAAAAACGGTTCACAAAAATATGATGTCAAATGACTTGAAAATCCATATAAAACAACCTAAAATAACATAACAAGCATCTTTTTTATCCTATATTTATCCTATATCAAAATTTTTAGCCAAAAAAGTCGAATTTCCGACGAAAAAATATTTTCAGTCGAACAATTTATAAAATCCGTCATTATGACAGGAATTCTGGGCGAGGAAAACAAAATTTTGTCAAGAAATTAATATCGGACAATATGTTGTAGAATTTCAATTACTTTCGACTAAAAATCAATTTCAAAAGCTTGAAGAAAACTTTGCTACCAGTGTTTACATAATTTGAATTACATTGTGATTGGCTTTCTAGATGGATTTTGAAGTCAACCCTAATGTTAAAAGTTAGAAAAGATTTGTCTCATCATTTTATAAATAAATTTAGATGCTTTTCTATTAGTTTTTAAGTCTACAACAACAGTCAACAACAGTTTTAGATTTCCATGATTATATTCAAGTGTAACATAATGTTCGATGGAAAAAGCTATGTTATTGTTCAATATTGAGGTGAAGATGGTTGGCATAGCTTAGAAAAGATCATTCTTTATCTTTCACTTTTAAATTAAACCAACTTTCGGTTAAGTACAGGTACTGGGATATCAATTTTATCAAAATTTCTGCAATTATACTCAAGAGTAACATAATTTTTGATGAAAAAAGCTATGTTCTTGTTCGATTTTGCAATGGAGATAGTTGGCATAGGTTAGAAAAGCTCTTTTTCATTTTTTAAAGCTAATTTTCAGTTATTTCAAGTTCATTCCAAGCTATATCAAGGACATTTTTTATCTAAAACGACTTGGTTTTCTAGGTCAATATTCAAAACTTTCAATTTTTGCTTAACTTGTAGTTGTATCTAATATTAATAAGTTACGTTTTACACTGTTATGTACATTTTACGGTTTTATCTTTAATTATTTTGCAAATGAAACAAATACCACGCCCGTGACACTTATTTGCAGCGAAACCATCTGGTAATACCTTTCGAGGGTGTAATTATAATATTTCCCTGGCAACCAAAAGGGAAAAGGAACACAAACAAATTCAGAGCTAATGTTTTTCGTTTTCAGATTTGAATAATTGTTTTTTGCTGATTTTCAAATTGAACTTTCGGTACTGGTTTAATCGGATTAGCCATTATGTCAATGGGTAAATAAAACTTTTAGTTCGAATTTTTCTAAAAATATTAAATTAGCTGGTAAAGTACGGAATTAAAATAAATAAATCTTAGTTTTAAAAAAACTGGATAAAAGATGTCATTTTAGGTACAGTGGAACACCTGTAAAACGAACTCCTCTATAATGAAAACCCTGTATAACGGACAACTTTAAAATTTCTGTCCATTCCTACACAGTTCTAGTACAACTCTTATATACTGAAACTACTATATAACGAAAAAAGTTGAAATTTCTAAGAAATTTGTTATACAGGAGTTCTAGAGTACAGTAGCGCGTTGTACAAGACTTTTACTTTATAGGAATTCGCTATACAGGAGTTCCAGTGTACATAATTTTACAACGTAGCGGCAAAGGGGGGCCACTTCGAAACCGCTTGACTATGTTATAACTAGTACTATATGTTACTATTGTTAGTTGTTGTTTTAAGTATATTGATTGTTTTAATAAATATATGACTAAAATAATGAGTCAACGGACTTTTGGCACACCCTGTACAGTGTTTTCTGGACCGGAATAATTCTTCGGACTTTTCCAGAACACTTATTCAAGTTTGTTTTTTTTCAAAATTTTTCTTTAAAAGAAAAATTTCGCAAAAAAAGTGTAGAACAACATTCTTTTGTCATTGTTTTGCTTAAAACGGTTCTAGGGCATGCCGAGTACGTCAAACGGAAATTAAAAGATTTTTATTGAACAATGGGTTTCTTTGCTAGCTTTTGTTTATTTAAAATTTTTTTTTTGTATTTTACGATACGTTATATCGCTTTGCTTTGGCCGAATTTTTGTAATTAAAACAAATTTAGGCAGTACGAGTACGTTTTGTATCAAAAATCTTAATAAATGTGAAGGTACCATCAATGAAAGTTACGTCAAGATGACACATTTTTCTTGATACTTTGATAAAAATGACGTTAATGGAAGAAAATATACCGGTAAGATAGCAGCCATACCTATTTAGTTATGCTACAATAAAAAATTTTTATTTTATACAGTTTGTTAAAAACCCAATATTATTTTAGGTATTCAAGCCCCGTCTAGCAATCTGGCCCAGAGGTTCAGTTCTCTTCGCCACCAATCTTCGTGGTCTAGGAGCTGGCCCACCACCATCCGATAGTATCCTACTAGCACTACGCTTCATTGTATACCACTTCCATCATCAACGGAATCGACTGGTAACATACGGCGATTGGCTTCGAATTGCTACGGTAAAAATTAATTTAAGCCGGGAGTGTGGGTTTTTACTCTTCACCCATGCCCAATCGATTAGTCCGGTCAATCGCGAAAGGCGGGTTTCGAATTTTCAAAATGAAAACGAAATGGAAACAAAGGCTGATATATTGGGATTGGCAGTAGCGTTAGCTTTAATGGCATGCCCAGTTGATGCGAATGGGAATAGAGATGCTTGCCGGTATATCAAGGATAATTTGGGTACGTTTTTAATTTTTCGTGTCGTAAAGAAAGCTTTTGTAAGTAAAAAATTAAAATTTAGGTTTTTTTATCTTTATAAACAAAAAAAAATAATAAAATCAGCTACATTAATATAAAAGAACTCAACAAATAAAAAAATTTCTACCCAAAAACTACATTTTCTACCTGTAAATTTAAAAATAGTATCTAAAAGTACCATAAAAGGTAAAAAAGCGTACGCCACTTGAGATTCCAAGGACGTCTCCGATCCAAGTACTAATCAAGCGCACCGTTGCTTAACTTGCCAGATCGGACGGGATGGCGTGCGTTCAACGGGCTATGGGCGTACACACTGGTTTCTCTTCCGTTTTCTTTCCTTTTGGGAGAAATTGTGGGGTTGGCAGGGGTAAAATAGGTTTAAAGGCGTGTCTTTAGGGTAATAGAATTTAAATTTTTGAAAAAAAGTTAATGAAAAATAATTTTTAATTACTATCAAATATATTTTTCTAAATGACCTGTTGCTTTTGGTCTTCCTAATTTTAATATTAAAAAATAAATTGACGATAAGACATTAATCACCTTATTTTAATTTTCTAAATAACTGCTTGTCATTTCAGAGTTGTTCCTAGACTGTATTTTGCTATGCAATTACTCCCTGGCTACAGAAAATATTTCAAGTTCTCGAATCGAGAAACTGCCACGTTTGGGAACGATTCCAGCGACAGCATTAAGCAATTTGGACGTTCTTTTCGAAGGAACGTTGAGAACGGACAAACAAACGAGTACTTCTTCCGTGATTCCAACTTCAATCAGTGCTTTACTAATGGCAGTGTTTGGTTTGGAATTGAAGGATAAAGTGAGGCTTTTAGATTTTTATTGTTTTGTATAGGAACGAGCCGGGCCTGAAAATCAAGGCTCGGGCCCGGTCCGTTCCTCATATCTAATTTTGGATGACGGATTTCTTGGAACTTTTTTGTCATTATGACTTATTTATATATGTGTAAAGATAATGAAAACTTGTCATTATGACATACTTTTTGTAAATTATCTTTAATGGGCGCTAGGACAAATGCGGTTTTTGGACAGTTGCGGATATAGCGCCTTTTAATGACTACTTTTTTAGATTTCAATGACTGATTTATTGTCAATATTCGCCAAATCATTACAATCGGACATGTTTTCGTTGGATGACGTATCTTGTCATAATTGCGATGAATCGACCGGTCGAACAATGACCTCAACCCAATTGGCCGAACATCGCAAAGTTACAGTAAGACGATGGAGACACGTTGAACTTTTGACCAAATTGTCTTACCGTAATGCTAATCTACGGATAAAAGGACCGTTTTTTGATGAATCTGCGTTTTTTTGCCCGAGGGTATTAAAAACGGCGTTGATTAAAAATGCTCAAAACACTGGACCAATAGTACTGGGGCCAGTGACAGGTTTAGTGGTACTGGATGGACTCGAGGATATTACAGTATCTGTAATTTGTGACAAGATTCTTATTCAGAATTGTCGTGGGGTTACTGTATTTTTGAACTGTAAGACGTCACCTGTTATTGGGAGGAATAGTACCAGTGTACTATTAGCACCATACAACGTGTTTTTCGATGTAAGTGGAAAAACTTTGTTTACATAGAAGTAAATGGCAAAAACTTACTTTACAAAACATAAAGCGACAATAACTTTTTTTAAATTGAAAAAGCGCGAAAACTTTTTTTTACAAAAAATAAATTTTAAATTTTAGGGCTTATTCCATGAACTACAACATGCTGGTATGTTACTTCTGTCTGGCACCGAAAATCGATGGGATCAGCCAATTCAATGTAATTCGTTACGGTATTCAGAATCCGCTGTATTGGCTACAGTAAATTGGTCATTATTACCGGTCGAAGCGTTTTATATTCAACCTACGCCTTTTCCTACTAATAAAGACAGTGCTATGTATAATGTAAGTTTGGGACAAGATGTGATAGGGTAGGGTAGAGTAAGGTAGAGTAGGGTAGGGTAGGGTAGGGTAGGGTAGGGTAGGGTAGGGTAGGGTAGGGTAGGGTAGGGTAGGGTAGGGTAGGGTAGGGTAGGGTAGGGTAGGGTAGGGTAGGGTAGGGTAGGGTAGGGTAGGGTAGGGTAGGGTAGGGTAGGGTAGGGTAGGGTAGGGTAGGGTAGGGTAGGGTAGGGTAGGGTAGATTCAATGGCTTTTTTGATTGTGGACGAAATGCAAATTGATTGTTTGATTTTTCAGTACTTCCGCCGAACGATACCTTCATTATATTTGGAGAACTTTGAAGAACGTTTACATTCAGCTGAAGCTTGGCTTCAGAGGAACCCAGAGAACCGCCTAATATCGGTATCGGAAGCCGACCAACAATATTTATATCAACGTACCGGGAAGAACATGTAAATATACATTACTTTTACTTACTATAATAAAAAGTAGAAAAATTTTACGTAATTTTGAATTTTTTTTTTGGTTTGAAACTATAGGAAAACTGACTAGGAATAGTGTCAGTCATAAACATAAAGTCAGCTGGATCAATTTCGAAAGTATTAAAATAAAGTATATTTGTTTGAAGAAAACTTAAAAATGAATTTTTAGGTATAAAGAGTGTGTTTTAAAATGTCTCAACTCTTATAGCAGCAACACATATTGTCAAGGCCACAATATTGGTTTTCTCCCACACAGTAACTGAAACAGTCGTGAGTATGACATTTGTAACTGGGATTACAAAGACGTGCCATAGTACAGCACACAATAGATAACAGTAGAATTATGACTAAAACTTTCATTGTAACTTTAAAGTTATAAAATGATTGTTTGACGGTCTCTCAATGTACAATAAAGTCGTTTTGCCTTAAGCGTTAACAACTAAATTTTGATTATAAAATGAAAATAAATTAGGCTGGGAACTAATTTTTATTTGTAATCAACAATCATTTTATTTTAAATGTATTAAAACGCTTAGGATTTTAAAAAATTGGAGGTCCTACTCTGCATGCTATTCCTAAACGAGTTTTGCTACGTTTAAAGCTCAAAAGACATAAAATAAATTCATAAAAAAACTGTTTATATTATAACCAGTATGCAGTTCAAAACACTACATCTAGTAATTTTTATCGTATTTTTGGTTACTACTTCTACAACGAGTATTTACTGTGACGAAGAAATTATATGTGGAGCCGAGTGTCACGTCAGTTGTTCTTTAATGTCCAATGTAGCATTATGCTGTGATAACATATGTTGTTGCGGTTATCCGGGAGAAAGTTGTGAATGAATAATACAATATCATATTTTGTTGTTTTTTTGTTCTTAAGGTCATAGAAATAAAATTTAATATGCTTGAGTACAAAATTAGTTTAAAAATTAGTTTTTTAAAATTTTTTAACATTCTGTCTAAAAAGTAAGATAAGATGAAAGTTGGGTCGTTTTACATCGAGGCAAATATTACAAAAATCATAAAAATTACATACTAAACGTTACGCAACAAAAATACTCGCAATTCCTCTAGGGCTATCTTGTTATAACATAAAGTTAGGTAACACTGAACAAAATTACGTGTGTTATTTAAATTTTAAGATTTAAAATAGTGAGTACTTTCCTCTTCTTTCCTAGAGTATCGTGCCCCTACTTCCTACCTAATACAAATTCAAGACAAGATTATCTTAACTGTGAAAATCAATGAATAAAACATTAATTTTTTTGCGAAATACAATTTTTTGTCCCATCATTATACCCTTTCTTTTACGGCTATCATGAAATTTGTAGTCTTGATGTTACTGTGTACCTTTTTAAGCGTATCATCCTTGTTTTCATGTAAAAGTAGTCAAGACTGTCTTCTTGGACCTCCGTGTGACAATATAGTTCAGAGTCAATATTGCTGCAACAACACTTGTAAATGCTACTACTTTTGGGAAAGTCCTTGTGATGATTAATCTATTTTAAAATATACGTATGATATTTTTAAAATTTCTTTACGAACTACGACATTTTTAACCTTTCTTCACATAATATAACATTTATTGATACGTAGTAACAGTGTTTATTGTATTAAAGTTCAGTATCAACAATAAAATATTACAAAACTGTTCAACAATCTTCCCAATGTAATCCACAACAACATTGGTCCTGACAGCAGAAAGCATGGCTAAACAAGGAATCACATTTCCAATGACAATTTACTGAGTAACAGTCATGTTCAGAATGACAGGTCATTGCTGTGGTATAGTAGGTAAATAATAGAAATAAAAATAGGTAATAAATTTTAAACATTACCTTAATAAAGATATCGAAATTTAAAAAACATTGTTTAAAAAAATTTTCAATCTTATTTGCATTGTACATTAGCAATAAAACGTAGTAATAGGCATGAGAATAAAATCAGTTTATAACCAATTTCCTGTGGCTAGCTGTGGAAAAACTGTGATTTTAACCATGAAAAAAAGAAAGATCTTGCCAATCTACTTTCTACAGTTTTGATTTCTTACAGTAAACAAACTATGAGCATTCAGAATCTGTATCGGGTGTTGTTGTAGCTCCATTATTCGTCGAGTTACAATAAAGTAAATATTTCCTTGCTATTTTATATATGATGAATATACGATTGGGTACCAAAAAAAAATTCTTTATAAGTTATTGCTGCAAAATCAAAATAAAAAGTCATTTTTCATGGGCATTCCGAATCTGTATCGAGTGTTGTTGTAACTCTATTATTCGTCGCGTTACAGTAATGTAAAGATTACCTTGCTATATTATACATGATGAATATACGACTGGGTACCACAAAAAAACGTTATTGCTGCAAAATCAAAATAAAGTGTACTTTTTCATTGGCTTTCGGAATCTGTATTGATTGTCGCTGTAGCTCCATTATTCGTCGAGTTACAGTAATGTAAATAAACGTTTCCTTCTTACTCTAATCCTAAAACATAGAAAAAAAGCAACTGTAACTTTTAAACAAAATTACAATTTTAAATCACATTAAAATGCGTTACATTACCATAAAGTTGACATTATTTTCTACAAATCTAATAACGAATGTCAACATTTTATAATATCGCTGGACCCTTTGATTACAGATTTCCAACTTGTTTGATTAGGACAAATTAAATAACGATATTTTCATAAATTCGTAAACTATGTGCATTACTTTGTTATTTTATGTTTTATCATTAACATTTTTCTCCTGCATTAATTTAATCTTTATTAAAATTCACAAAAAGAACGGTAACACAAGACTTTCTAACATTATTACCATTTCAATTCAATATATTTGACATATTCCACAAAATCGTTATATTCCAAATATTTCCCAATGAAATCATTGCTAATTATTTTGATAAGTAGCTACTTTACTTTTGTTTCAACAACTGATTGTGTAGCGTTTCCATGCAATTCTCAAATGTGTGTTTTTACTTGTTCCCTTTGGCTGCAAATTACTAAATGCTGCGATAAAAGATGTTGTTGTATATTCCTTTGGGAAGACTGTCCATAATTATAAAAAGCTTAATAACATTTATGTACGTATATATCCTAATAGAAGTATTTTATCAATTATTTATTAAATAAATACCAAAATATAAATATGTGTAGGTATTTTACGAGACAAAGACACAAAGAGTATAATAATGTAATGTTGAAACCTTAAAAATTCATACTATAATATATAAAATTAGGAATGTAAAGTATAAAAAATATAACATAAAGCAACTATAAAATTATATTGAGTGTATTGAAACCAAAATTCTAATGATTCTATTTAGTTAAAAACTTCCTTCTCGCTTCGTATCCCGCGCGCTTCTGCTGGTATTCCTGAAACTCTGGCACGTCGTTCCCCTCCAAATAATGAGGGATCGGTAACGGCACGTTGAAACTGTAGCATTGCTCCATTTGAACATAACTGGCCATGATATCCAGCGATTCACGAACCGAGGTGAAATACGTAGGAGCAATTGTCTCGTATATCCTCTTAACCTTCGGATATTCTGGCATGGTGGAGAAACACAACGACCGAGCTGAAAGTTGCAAGATTAGAAAAATAAAACAAGTTTTTATGTCAAAACCTACATAAACATAAAAAACCTAAATTTTTAACAAAATTACATAATTTTTACCTTTGAAGTCACCATAGTTAAAACGAATACCGAACTTGTACTTCGCTTTAGCCAACTCTTGTTCGCCGTTCCAGGGAACGGTTTCAAAGTTGAAATCAATCCGATGTTCCTTCTCCATGTTGTACTCGTTTCCTTTGTCCCGAAATTGATCGTTAGAGATTATCGATCCGCTGTAAGCATGCGCTGTGTTCAAAATCACCAGGTCGTCGTCGACACGGTCAGGAAGAACGTAAAGCATCTGCAGACGTTGAAGTTCCTGCAATTCAAAAAAATTGTTACAAAAAATAAATAACGTGCCAGTAATCAACAAATTTTTACGGCATTAGCTTTTCACTTTACCAAAAACAATTTTTGTTACCCAAAATGATCAAAAAGTATCCAATTTTATCCAAAATTGCACATATTAGATAAATGATACCTAAAAACAGAACAAAATAAGGGAAACACTTACTTCCAAAACGAAGTAGTAATCAGTACGCATCTTGTCCATGAAGAACTCTTTAATGGTAACGAAGACTTCATATTTGTAGTCAATCAGGTCATGAACCATCATAAGCAGTGTCAGTGCGTTAGGTTTTTCCCTGAAATAAGAATCAATTATATTGATATTATTAGCTTATCCCTAATCTTACATTAACAAAAACTTACTCAAAAAACAACAATTTTAACATATTATGAACCAAGGATATTAAATTTTTGTATAAAAAACATTAATTTTTCAAAAAACAAAACTTACTTTGAAGAGTGAACGTTGTAGCAAGCCCGTGAAACTTTTGCGATCACATTGCATCCGTCGATTATAATTGGCCGGCGAACAAACTCTCTTTTCTTCTTTATGCCTTCAGATCCATGGCTCGAATTGCTGCAATGCGGCTTTTGAGACGTCGAGTTTGCAGAGGATTCAGTCAAACCGGTTTCATTCAATAGACTGGCTGATTCTGGGACTTCACTGTTAGATTTGCTCGTCGAAATTTCATTCTGAGTCTCATCTGACATCAGCGAATTCGAATCCAACGACTTTTCGGAAGCAACTTCATTGTTCTCGGGTTTCTGGGCCGCCGACAAAAGTTTTGGAGTCTTCATGACTAAAAAACACAAGTAAAACAACGAAAAATACCTAAATTATCGAAAGCTAACAAAATATTGCCATAAACAACAATATTACCCATTAAAATTTGAAAAACAATGAAAATAATATAAAAAATATTTTTTTAAAAACAAAAAAACCGACCTATTGTCATCCTGGCCGCTAAAAGGAATAAAATTACGAGAATTTCGATCATTTTGTTCGATAAATTTTCTGAAATTCTCGAAATCATCGACGAGTTTAATTATTCCAGACGTGAAAACCTTTACTTGCCAATAAAGGCTGCTGCGGAATGCCACAAAAAACAAAATTTTGTTCGGTCGAGTTCTCAATAAAATCTGGAGTATTTTTTTATCAACAAGTTTCTGACTTGAATTCTGGCATCAATAGTTTATGTGAAGTTTTGCTACGCATTTTAGCGAACTTCAAATGCAATTTCTTTATGTTTATGTGTAGAATTTGAGCGAAAAACGCCAAAATGGTATTTATTATGTGTTATTGATGTGTAAACCAATGTATTTGAATGAATTTTTGTTTTTTTAGAAATGCCTCATGATTTTAGACCTATTTTCAACTGTGATGTTATGTATTGTATTATAATGTATGTTAAAGAAGATACTATATTTTAAAATTTGGGAAATGAAGATGATTTTCTATGCTAAATTACCTTTGAATTATACGATTAGGCAATAAATAATACATTAGGTGGAAATGCGTTGTCTTATTGTGTTTTATATATTATAAGACTACAAATTTGATATATACAGATTCTTATAAGGTCTACTTGCTATTTTTATATATATTTCTATATTGTAGTAGTTGAATAACCCCAAATGAAGAGTTTGTTTATAATACTATTTTTTGTAATTATGATAACTGTTACTATGTCCAACTATATTGAATGTGTCAACTACTACGATTGTTTCACAGTTAAGATTTGCAACGCGTTTCAATATCCAGCTTGTTGCTCATTCAAGTGCAGCTGCTTGGGACTCTCCGAGACTTGTGACATCGACTAACTTCAATGTTATGTTCATATTCAAAATATTCATGTGGGAATATGCTGTAGTAAATATGTATGTTGAATTTCAACAAGTTTGTTTGTTTTTCAAGGTATTAACTTTAATTCAATTTATTGATAGTAATGTTGTGTACAAGGTGGAAATAGTGCTATTTGCAATTTAAACAGTAGTTTTCTCCTTCTTTTTCAGTGTGATTATTTTCCAAATGGATTCTTACCAAATTAAATTTATGTTTATGAAAATGTTAAAATTTGAAAACTATTTTAAATTCAAATTTCTCAAGCCACTTTGTCCACACTTGATTCCAGCCACTTTTACTGCGTTTTCAAGCACTTCTTGTAAAGGCATTCTTTGATTAAGGAAGTGTAACGCCGAACCAATAAAAGAATCTCCAGCACCTAAGGTGTCGACCACTTTTTCAGGTTTATATGCTTGACAGAATCGTATTTGGGATTCTGATGATAAACGAGCTGACGCACCCTGAAAGAAGTAATCTTTTATTGAAACTAAACTTGATTAAAGAAGAATGTCATAATAGTAATAAAAATACGAATTTACATTCAAAAATTATTCAACTAGCGCAAACGCCATTTTAAAACAATAAATTTCATTGTAAACTAAAATATTCAATATAAAGTGTTTGACATATAAAAAAAACATCATTTTACTTTTAATCTAACGAAATTTTTCAAAAAATGTTTACCATTTCACCCCAAGGCACAATAAGGGTGGAGTCGCGAAGTGAAAACCTTTTGATAGTGCCATTAATAGCCTCCTCCATTGAATTGAATCCAAGTTTACGAGAAAAATCCTTGGACATAAATATTACATCAGCCAGTGGAATGATCTTTGTATACCAGTCAAACTCTCGTATCTTTTCCAGTTCCACACTTATTTTACATTTTGAGTGGCCGATCTTTGTCCTACAGTAACTTATCATTTTGGCGAGTTGGTCGAAGTTTCTACCTGGAAAATATATCAAACCTTATACTATTAATAATAAGCAAAAACGTATCATTATTTAAAAACATTATTTACAACATCTCAGTACTATTTAGTACCATTTTCAAAAATAGTCCTAAAAAGTCCTTCACCTTCAAAATGAATCCAAGAAAAATCATCAAAATTCGGGAAAGTTTCCTCAAATTCATCAGCATTGATCTCTGGTAAATCTCCACGATAATGTAAAATTGTTCGGCTGCCATTGCTTATGTTGACGACACATGTTGATACTGGTACTCGGCAATTTGGCCGTTTTATACGAATGACTTTCAATTTGTATTGCTTCAGTAAACTGAAAAAAAGGTTTAAAATGGGATATCAACGATTACGGGTTTCTCGCAAAAAATGAAGATTTTTGAAATTTTCATTCGTAGAACTCTCAAACAAACCATTTTAACCTTCCTTTCAACAAACAAATCAAATTTCACAACTTTTCCTAAAAATGTTACCTAAAATAGCCAAAACTATTAAAAATCACATAATTGCCAAAGAAACCAAAAAAAGATTTTTGTAACCTAAATTCACATGAAAAGTATTTTTCACCTTAACTTACAAGAATTATCACTTGATTACAAAAATAATTCTTGTTACCTAAAATAAAAATAAAAATTATTTGTTACCTAAAACTTAAAAAAACACATAATTTATATTCTCAAATCATCAGTTTCCTTTTCAAGATCAAGTTTGAAACCTTAAAATACAATTCGAACATCGAAAAGAAAATATTTTTCCAAAAAACTAACATCCCCAATTTTCCGCAACCCCTCCCAGGCTGCAAATCAAAAGGAACCGCCAAACTTCCTGTTTAAATTTCGATTGCACCGTGCAAAATAATTTCCCTTCTCGCGAAAATCTCCTTTCGAAGGTCGAAGAATTTTTGACAAATTTGGAGGTCCCAAAATCTCAAAAATTGGGCCATTTTTGTTTTTCTCTAACCTTTAACAACCCTCTCATGTCGCAACGATCGCCAGTCATCGCAGCTCTGGGTCTCTTCTTTTGTACTGTCGCGCAATGTATTTCTCCGAACATTTCCTTTCTATGTCCGTCTCTTAAAAGTGCACTCTCTTTTCCCCGATAATTTGCACTGTGCAAGCCAACTTTTTGTTGATTGCACCGTGCAGACGACAGCTTGGTCGTCAAAAATCCGCTTTCGAAGGTCGAAGGATTTTCGACAAATTTGGAGCTCTCATAATCTCAAAATTCAGGCCATTTTTCTTTTTCTCTGACCTTCTATAACCACTCTCACATATCGCAACAATCTCTCTTTGTCGCAGATCGAACCTCTCTTCTTGTTTACATTTGCGCAATCACTTTCGCGACCTCTCCCTTTCTCTTCCCGGTCTCTTTATATCGCGCTTTATCTCCTTTCTTCCCTGTTTGATTGCACGGTGCAAACCCAAGTTTGGTCGAAAAAAATCCTTTTCCAAATTTTCTCGATTTTTGCAGAAAATCGAAAGAGAAAAAAATCGAGAATTTGGGCCAAAACTCTGCACAGTGCAATCAAATTGAGAAAGGAGAGATAACGCGACATGAGGAGATGAGGGAGAGAAAGAGAGGGTCTGCGAAAAGTGATTGCGCAACTGCAAACTGCAAGAGAGGAAGGTTTGCGACAACAGAGATAGTGTTGCGACATACGAGGGTGATCGGATAAGGTTAGAGAAAAACAAAAATGTTCAGATTTTTGAGATTTTCGGAGCTCCAAATTTGTCAAAAATCCTCTGATCTTCGGAAAGAAATTTTGACGACCAAACTTTGGTCTGCACAGTGCAATCAACAAAAATTTAGTTTGCACAGTGCAAATTATCGGGGAAGAGAAAGATCATGCGCTTTGAAGAGACAGGCATAGAAAGGAATTGACCTCTAAAAGACATTGCGCGACAGTAAAAAACAAGAGAGCTAGTCCTACGACAACAAAGAGAGCGACATACGAGGGTGATCAGAGAAGGTTAGAGGAAAGCAAAATGGCCCGATTTTTGTGATTTTCCGAGCTCCAAATTTGTCAAAAATTTTTTGATCTCAAAAGAGGCTTTGCGAGAGAGAATTTTATTATGCACGGTGCAATTGAAATTCAAAAGGGAATTTTTGGCGGTTCTTAAGATTTGCGGCCTACGAAAGTTATGCAAAGTTGAAGTTGATATTTTTGAAAACATATTTGATTATTAATGATTTATGTGATTGAAAGTTGGAGATCAAAAAATTTGTTTTGTATAAAGTTTGTTTTACTTCTAATTTAAAAAGTTTATGTAATAATCAATTAGTCTATAAAGTTTTAGGTAACAAAAAGCATCATTTCATATTCTAGGCAAAACGTTTTTTTTGCAAATTATTTAAGTAGTTATTTTTTGAATTGAAAATTGTGCATTTTGCAGTATGATAGGCCTTGAATTAACAACTACGCCCTAACATAATATTTTGACCAATCAGACAATTTCAAATCCTACAAAAACATATATAAACTTACTCTTTAAGTGTAGCGTCATTTTCTGGTAATGCAGCACAAAGCACGGTGTCTTCAGGAGCTATCTGTTTCAGCACAGTGCAATTGTTAGCTGCATTCCCACCCAGTACCGTTTCCATCTCAAATACTCGAGTATCCGAGTCCTCTTTTGGATAAATCTGAACATAATTTACCACATCAATACAACATAACCCGACCACCAAAATTTTACCCATATTCTGAAAGGATTTTTATTAGAGTTTAATAGTAATGTGTAAAGGTGCCATTTTGGCCGTTTTTTAATAACCAGATTAAAAAAAAATGGTTAACACAATATCGAATCTTTAAAAATAAGTTGACATTTTTAAAAACATTTATTACGTTTTGAAGGTCATGAAAACCTTATCAATGTCCAAGAAAAATAAATTATTTTTTTATTTTCATGATAGAGAAACAGTTGACGAGAGAAGAAAGCAACTTTTGACTCGTTTGTTTTTCCAGTAGACATGAGAAACGGGCCGGGCCGGCCTTGAGCAAAATTTAGAACGGGCCGGGCCTTGGAAAGTCGGGCCGGGCCTGAAAAAAAAATTTCTAAATTTTTTAAAATTTTTCATTTCAATCCCCGTTTATGTTTTTAGATTTTATTGGGTTCTATGATCCATAAATGATCTAAAAAAACAATTTAAAGCCAATTTTCCGTTTAGTTTTTAAGTTTTAAAATTTTAAAAATTTTTTTAAAACGGGCCGGGCCGGGCCTAGAAATTTTCTGATTGGGCCGGGCCGGGCCGGGTCTGACCAAAATAAAAAACGGGCCGGGCCTAAAAGTTAGGCCCCGGCCCGCGGGCCGGGCTTGAAAATTGGGCCCGGCCCGGCCCGTTTCTCATGTCTATTTTCCAGAATTTGATTTTCATTTTTTTGGAAAGGTAATAACTTGATAAAATTAAATGTTTATTATGAGAGTAATATGAGTTTTTTTATAATTTTGTTATTTGTTATAAAATTTTGGCGTTTTACGACAGTTGAAGAGCAAAAACATGATTTTGTCAAGGTATTAATACTCATTTTTTTATTTTGACATTTTTTGTTTTTTTTGTATGCTTATGTTAACAATGCCATTTTAAAGCTTTACAAGCATTCATAGAACTCCTCTAGGCCTCTTCCTCCTTCCTACCTAATTTCAAGCAATCCGATCACAACTGTTTTTGTGGTTCAGTGGTAGCGCGCTCGTTTTTCACTCCAATGCAGGGTGGGTTCGAGGCCGCTCGCAAGACACCAGCGGCATGCGCCTTGTTTCACGGCGTAATCCTCCAAAGTTCTTGCCACAACATAAGCGTATTATTTGAGGGTGTTTCGAACGTCGTTAGAGTTGTTACACTTATTTCCTGCTCGACATTTTTTGCACTTTTTGTTGGAAAAACGTGTTTTGCTTTTTTGGAGGTGATAAAATGATGTCAAAAATGACTTTTTTATCACTTATTGTACGCAATGCTAAGTTAGTGGAGAAAAAAATTTCATTTGAGAAAATTAAGTTTTTATTAACAGTACCTAATAGATCAAGCTACAATCACTCCTATCAACAAACTCTTTTCGTGTCGCCATATGTAAGACGACGCCTTTCCCGTTATCGAATCTTTTGAATTTTGGCTTCATAACAACACAAGGGATTGAATTCGTGATTTTGTAATCACAATCTAATGGTGTCATACACATGTCTTTTGTGTGCTTTTGACGATAAGTTTCTTCAGCGCATTGTAAGGCTGCTTCGAAGAATGGTTTGAGGGTTGGAAGTGTTGAGTAGGCCTGAAAGTAGGCAGTTTTAAGACAGGTTTACATCGTCACCAACTCTAGAAATATAAATTTTAAATCCGGAGCCTACCTCTTTTACAATGGCATTAGAATTCATTTTACGTTCAAAACTTCTTTGAACTTTTTCGAAGTTCTGAGGACTTTTGTATAGATTGTTACTCTTCAACTCAAACCATTTGGTGCTATTGGTACTGTCTCTCAGATGAATTGAAAACATTTCTCCAAAGCCTAATTGGATTTCAGAATATTTTGATAAGTAGTCACTTTCAAAATGAGGCCCATGAACCAGACCTCTTCTGATTTTGAAGGGTCTAAAGATACTTTTGCCTTTGTCAGAAGTTGAGTCGATGTGAAGGATGGTGAACATCTGGGTTATATTGAAGGTTGAAGGTGTTTCACCTGAAAAATTATTAAAATCACAGCCGGCTGATTATGAGTTTTGATTTGATTATTAAATTTTAGGCGTAAGCTTCCGTTTTTAGGCTTAAGTTGACATTTAAAAAATGGTCATTTCTGGATTTAAAATTTTTGGACTTATCTTTTAAAATTTGCTATTCTTACCCTTTAAAAATTTGGCTTTGGCCCAAGGGAACCTAAACGACGGAGCAATCGGAAACTTCATAGAAAGTGCAAGTACTTCTTCATATATACTGCTATATTTTCTTGGTATAAAGATGTCGTCAAAGTCGGAAAAAAGCATAAACTCTGCTGAATGTCGATATTCATATAGACATTCAGTGTTACTCGTTATGATGTTCAAAGAGTCGGTATGGGCGTTTGGGTTACTGTACGGGGATAGTTCTGGCTGAAAGTAAAGTTAAAGATAACCCTTTTCTATTCATTTTATAACTTGCTGCAAGGACTTTCTTTACACAAAAACTTACAATTATAGGCATGATAACGCCTTCCTTTAATTTAACCTTCCCGGTTTTTTCATAGTACTGTAATATCGTGTGTAAGTTTTTGATAATGCTGACTATTGGTATAACGAACATATCAGCGCCGTAGTTTAAGTACATTTCAAGTGATGCCAAAGCGATTTGCCATTGTTCATAGTAAAAGGCTCTACCATAACATACGACTAAAGGGTACTTTTTAGACACGGGTGGTGTTATTGGGACCTAAAATCATGTTTTTAGGTCACAATGTATAATAGTAGGGTAAAGAAAATGGTAAAGTAGAGTAGGATAGTAAGGGATAGGGTAAAGTAAAGTAATAAAAGATGGGGCAGGGGTAACGTAACGTAAGGAAGGGTATTGATAAAACAAGGTATGGTAAGTATCTTGCCTCAAAGTTTTCTCTGCTACCAACAATGCTCATGCTGTTGACGGGTTGAGTAAAATTACAGTCCATAAAGTAATCTTTCCATTTACATGGTAAAGGTGCTCCAAGAGGAGACCATTCAGCTGGTACTATTTCATTCCTGTCACTTTTACACTTTACTGGAGGAGTATCAAGTAAGTATGGACCATCTCTATTATGTGTTAGCACTATTAGACGTATTGCTGTAGTTGTATTTGAACTAGAATTTCTTCTTACATTAGTTTATAAAAGCAACAGTATATCTAACAATTTTGTTGTAAGACTTATTGTAATACGTGTTATAGCCTTACCTTTCAATACCTCCAATATTAAAAGCGGAGGAAATAAAAATATGTTGTTTTACATCCCAAGCTTCATCCTTATCTTTAGTACTAAAATCTACATAACTTAGACCAACATTCTCATTGTGTAAAGTAGAATTGTCATACCATTTGATAAATATTGGCAAGAATACGATAAAAGTTACTAGAGTAAAAACGACAGTGAAGTAAATATGTCGTATAGGTAAATACGCCGATTTGCAAACTATTCTCCCCATATTAGTTTAATTTAAGTAGAGCAGACCTTTTACTTTTACGGATTTTGAGGGTTTTTGTTGCGCAGCGATTTTTAATTTTGATAATATAAAGCTTCGTGAAATTGAAACAATTGTAAAATTTTTATTTTTAATTGTTTTAATATGTATTTAGTATGTGTATATCCCTCTTATTTTTCATAGTTCTGGACTGTTTTCATGAAAACATATCGAAGCTTGATGTGTCTCACCACGAAAACCACTCGCCGCTAAAAATTCGCTTGAAAAAAAGATTTTTTTCGCGAATTCGGCTTTTTTTCGTCGGGATTCTCGACGTAAATGGCAACTGATCAATCTGGCTTCCAAAGCCAACTTCAAAAGTAAGATTTCTATAATATTTGAAATCTCTGAATATTTTTAGGTTTGGTTCAAATTTCCGAAACAAATTTGAAGACACCAAGAACTTGATCTACCAATTGAAAGCTGTTTCTTATTCGGAAAAAAGCACGGATTTTGGTCTTTATGGGGCCAAATGTCTGGGGGATAATGTAAGGCTGCTTTTTCTTTGTTTACCTTTTAGGTTATATTACGACGTGTTTTCGGGTCGATATTGATATTATATACTTGTTGTTATAGGCGTCAGATTTCCGACGGAATCTAACACGAGAAATTACTGAAAACCGAGTTGAGTTGTTAGAAAAACGGAACACAGAGTTGTCGCAACGCTTGTCAGTCAACGAGACTATAATTCAGCGTTTTATTCAACTAATAACAACGGTAAGTGTGGCTAGTTATTAGTATACTTCGGTTAGTTTTTGATGTAACTTTATAGAAAGGGCAGTTAAAGTCTTGAAAGTTTGTATGAAGTTAGATTATTTAGTTTGTCAACTAATTTTCTATACGCTCTTTAAAATTCTGCGCTACTTTTCAACTTGTAGTACTTTTTCGATATGCTATTATTACCTATTTTATAAAATTCAATGCAAGTTTTGTATAATAATACATCTTTATAATGTTTTTTTTTAGTTTTCAACTAATAATATAACGTGCTAACGAGAATTTTTATATTTTTTTTATTTTAGCTTCAAAATGAATTCAACGAAAGTTTAAAGTTAACATCAGATGCAGAAGAAAATCGAATCAGGGAGAACAAAGAAGCAACAAGCAAGCTTTCACAAGTTGATTACCAACTGAAAGCTTCAGAAACGACGGTGAAGATCAAGGACGATGAAATCAAGAGGTTAAACGGGAAAATCAGTGATCTTCAAGTGGTATGTTATAAATATTGACGTTTTTTATGTTTAGGACTTGAATCAATTGGAGAAAAAACTGAAGGAGGTTGAGGAGGACAGAAGGAAGATTTATGAGTCAAGAAATTGTAAGATTTTAAATTTGTTAATTGAAGATAGATTGTGAATGATGTTGTATTTGGCTTTTTTACTTTTTTTCTGCTTGTACTTTTGGCTTAAAAAGTTACTTTTTTAATTATTGTTTTTGTTATATCTGGATATTGTGTTAAATTGTGTTAATTTTGATATTTCCAGCTCAAGAATCAAAACTGCAAAGAGTTATGGAAAGTCTACAAGAGGCTAACTTTCAAAACCAACAATTGACAAATGAAAATCAGAGATTGTTGGATGAAGATAGAAGAACAAAACGGGTTTTGGAACAAATTGAAGATACTCATAGGCGAGAATTGGATAAATATGAACAAAGATTTGAAATTGAAGCTTCTAAGCACGAATCTGAAATGGTAACCGTCTTTTATTCTTTGATTATTATTTTTTTAAAGTTTATAAATACTAAAATAAAAATTCTGAATTTTTAACGATAATAATTTAGGCCGGAATTCACAAGCAATATGAAGCCGAATTGGCTGAAAATGTGGCAGCCATCACAACTCGTCTTCAGTTGGAAATGGAAACTCAAAGGAAGATTCATGAAAAAGCATTGAAAAAAGCGAAGGATCAAACGGATGAACTTATGAAGTATCGAGAACAATATTTCCAACTACAGATGAAGTTTAAAGATCTTGAGGATAAGGCAACAAAGCAAGCCTGTGAAAGTTTAGATGATGCTAAAAGAAGGTTGATCATGGAGCAAGGTGAGTGGTGATTACTTGTTTTTAAAAAATATTTGTTGTTTCAAGTTTTTTTAAATGAAGTTTTAGTTATTTTTTATTAACATAGAGAAATTTTTGTGGAAATCCGTTTTATAAATATAAATTTTAGCTTTAAATGCTCGAAAAGTCTTGGCAAACCGTCATTTGGCCCAAGAAAAACCTGAAAACTTGGCCAATGTGTTCTTGAACGATTTTCGAGGATCCGATGCCGGCTCTATAACATCATCTTCATTGTCGGATGCGGACGAAAATCGACCGTACATAAGACCACCGGTCCCTACAGCTCAAAAACGACACAGGGCAGCATCGGAAACCAGGGACAAAAGGCCTAGGAGTGTTAACCTTGTAGGTTTATATTGTTTGCTAATTTTATATATTTGTATTGATTGCTAATTTTTTATATTTTTATTGACAGGTTGGTTAGAAACATGGCTAGTAATACAATGCGATCTTTTCAGGTACCTCAAGTTGTGTTTCAGTCCAGAAACCCGCGACCACCATTTCGAAAGTAACTAACTTTCCTGATCTCACTGTAAAGAATTAGTATCACAACTAGTATTTGTAACACTTTTTCGTCAATAAATAACTGACTAGCTGAAATTGACTTGTTTTGTTTTATAAATGGGTTTATTGTGAACGTTTGTCGATTTGGGATTATCACAGAACAAAGATTTTTATCTTTCGTTTTTAACATTTAACAGTGAGACAAGTTTATGTTATACTGTTTTTTTATAGTTTATAAGGCACAGAACGTTTTAACGTTTCTTTTAGAAAAATAAAACATTCGAAATCGCGATTGGTCTCACCACGAAAATCCCTGCTCGTCAGGGAAACAATGGTTTTTCTTTGGCATTCAGTTTTACGCTCCAAAAATAATTGAAAAACAATTTTGAATGAAATCTGCGGATAACTTATTAACGGTTTAGTTAAGTTGCGTATTTAAGATTGCCTATTGATTTGTTTGTAACTTTAAACGCTCAATGTCATTTTGATTATTGTTAATATTCCATATTATTTTAGGTTTAAAGATGAATAGAAAGAAGAATGCGTATTTTGATTCATCTAGGACAACAGGGAGAAGAGTGTTCAGAAAGGATGATGATGTGGATACATGGAGGCCGATGAATTTAAATTCAGATGTCATCAAAGCAAGATTGGCCGAAGATTTGGCTGGAACACCGTTGGCAATAGGAAAACAGCTCAAGGCAAGTTTCTATTTGAAATTGTCAGTGTTTTTTATGTACGTTTTTGGTCTGAGTGAATTACTGAACTAGTTTTTTGAAATTTTTGTGTTTTAAAAATTTAGTTTTTTTGAAAAATATAGCTTTATTGAAACGCTGACTTTATCATTTTTACAGCTTTATTTCGATTTTTGAGTAACAAATCAGTTTGAACTTAATATGTAAACATTTAGGATTCAAAATCACGTCTGCCAACGTCAAAGGCTCCAGTGACTTTAAATGATATAAAGTCAGAAGTAATCCAACCAGATGAGGATGGATTTAGAAGCCATGAATTTTGCCCAGAAAATGCTAAAGGAGTAAAAAGACCAGAAGTTAGTTCATACGATGGTTATGCCATTTTTGGATTGGACAATGAAACAAAACCTGAGTTGTTATGCGTAAAAACAGAAGTCGCAGAAGCAGTTGAGTCAGAAGTTAACGAAGTTTTAGCTCCAGAAAAGATTCAAGTTGCTGAAGTGGCACCTCTACAAGTCACAGAAGCCACGGTTTTGGATGAAAATGTACTGTTAAGTCAAAGACAATGTTCCAAGAATTTAAAATCATCGTCTACACCATCGGAAGTTTCTCGAGAACCATTAAACGTAATTACGCCTAAGCGTTCGACTGGAACAACGAGGTCTTCTAAAGGATTGACGGCTACTACAACGTCAATAGACGTCTCTAAGTCAACTGATATGACGACCAATGATTCTGGCAGAAGAACTTCATTGTCTATGTGTAGTTCTGGGGCCTCGGTTTCACCGTTATTGACTCAGAATACTTTTGTGTCTACAGTTACGCCTTCCCTGTCTCAAAATCCTTCTGAAAGAGAAGTTTTACCATCAAAGTTGCTTGAATTTACTGGTCGAAAATCGACATCGCTTGGGCCTACCGGATCACCAAGTCAACCGGCCAACAATGACTTTAAGTGTACTTTCGTCAAACAAAATAGTTCACTGAATGGTTGCCTTCGGCAGGTATATATTTTGAAAAAACCAAGAAAAGATGGAACCACTATGAAGAATACGGCTTCAACGTCTGAAGGTATTACAAGGCTTCCCACTGCTTCAGAAATGATGAATTTACGAAGACGTTCAGAAGCTGCAACGTCAAATAAACTTGCAACCGCAACATCATGTCCATTTGCAACTTCTTCAGTCAAAAAGCCAGCGGCTATAATAAACGCTTCTAGAATGAAGCTTCGTCCACCACCTTCTCCTCCAAAATGTCCAGAATGGGCCAGGGATCTTGGTTTAGGCGACAAACATTGGAAGGATATTCAGATGTCAGAACGTCCTATTGATGAAGAAGACGCGAAGCTATATAGATCGGCCGAAAAGCGGGATTTAGAGTTTAATGACTCTACTGATTACCAGGATTGTGATGATTATTGTGGTACTGAATATTCCGATACTTTACAGGAAGGCGGTTTTAAATATCCAGATGAACAGGAGTATAACTGCAAAAGATGGTCTAATCCATGGATGAAGAAAGTAAGAGAAAGCACCAAGAATTACATTTTTAATGGTCCTGATTGGACACGAAGCTGGCTTGTAAAGGAAAAAGAAAGTAAAAAGGATTCGGAAAGTTCGAAAGCTGCTGAAAGGCAGCATTCAGAAGAAATGTCATCTACTGACGAGCAGGATATATTATGCTCTTCTTCGGACATGTGTAAAGTTTTAGAAGGTAAAAAATGGACTAAAGAACAAAATTCAAAGGGCTTGAAACTCTTAAGGAATACAGCACCAAGAGGTAAAAAATTAACTAAGAAACCAAGTTCAAAAGTCACAGAATTGACGGAAAATCAGGGTTTGGAGCGTGAGGAATCTCCTGATATCATAATATTGGATGAAATAACACCGACCAAAAATGAAAATAAGAAAGCTTCTGGAAGTCAACCTTCAACTTCCCACGAAACGGCCGAAGTTCAGGAGCTGAATCAAGAATCTTCAACCAAAAATGAAAGTAAGAGAGTTTCTGGAAATCAACCTTCAACCTCCCAAGACACGGCCGAAGTTCAGGAGTTGAATCAAGAATCTTTGACCAAGAAGAAAACTCCAAAACTTCACTTCGTTAAACCAAAACGATTTTTGTTCATGAAGCCCGAGCCCACCTATCGTGACATATCCCTCAAAATGAACAGAGAGTTGAAGAGAACCCGTTGTCGGAGTATGTACGAGTATGAGAGACGCTTTGGCAAGACTAAGTTCTACCTGACTGTCAGGGAATATTTGACGGTAAACATGAGAAGGAGATATTTGGAGTCACGTAGAGATAATATTTCTGAAGAGCGACAGGTCAGCATGGTCGATAATTGTATAAAATTTATTAATGGGCGTCAACCAAATTCTGATAAGAAGAGCCAAGATTCTAAAAAGAAAGCGAGAAAAGGTGGTGTTACCAAGAAGAGAAAAGACGAAGAAAGTGGTTCCAAGAAGGACGATGAAGAACATGGTCCCAAGAGCAACAATAATGACGAAGATGGCACCACAAATGCTGAAAAGGTACCAATTGAAGACAGAAGCCAAGCAGCACCAAGTAGTACCGAAAGGGTCGGAAAAGTGCCAAATAACAATGAAGTGGCACCAGTTGTTGCTAGTAAAAAGAAGGGAAGTAAAAGTACCAAAAAGAGTAAAAAGGTACCACAAGTAGATGAGGAAGAAGCTGTAAACGAAGAAGTATCGAATAAAGACAAAGAAGGAGGTAAAACACCAAAAGGAAAAGCACCAATTTCAAACGAAAAAGAACCAACTGCACCAACAAGAAGATCCAAAAGAATAGCTGAAACTAAAGAAAAGCTAGTTGATAATGATGGTAAACCTATGGTAGACCTGACAACTTGCGAAGAATCTGCAAAGCGAAGGAAGATTGTTGTTGAAGACTTGCATTTGTAATTTTTTTTGAAAAACTTGTATTTGTAATAATTTGTTTATAACATTGTTGTTGATCTTGTATATCGGTTTTTTAAATTGTAATCAATAAAGTTTTATTAGCGAAACACTTGGTTTATTGAAAGTTGTGCAAGTCAGAGTGATGCGTCAAATTAACATGCTTTTACTATATTTTTTTAATAGTTTGAAACGTTAAAATATTTTTTAAAAAAAGAAAATGTTTTTAAATCGAATTTATTAAAAGAACGGATAAATCTTGATGTTTAAGGTTCCCTGTCTTTACCAAACATTGTGCTGTTGATTTGGTCCCGCCACGAATATCAGGTTTTCGCTAAAGCTTGGCCTTCCGCATTTTCTTCTATAATTTTATAAAACGATGTGTTGGCCGAAAATCCTTGAAAAGTGATGCAACATCAACCTTATTTTAATATAGCTTTTAGGTTTTAATTTTTTAAATATTATTTCAGACGTTGCTTTTTGCGTTTCATTAAAGTTTGAGTAAATCTGACGTTATCTGCTAAAGTAAGATGTTTTAGGTTAAAATGGCTCAAGTTGAACAACAAGGCCTAACTGAAGAACAAGTTCAACGAAAAGAGCTTATTGTTCGGAATCTTCAAGAAGTTTTGGGCAATGACAGGCTTGAGAAACATCTGATTTCTGGCAAGAACATTCATTTGTATTGGGGAACGGCTACAACTGGACGTCCTCATGTGGGATATTTTGTGCCAATGCAAAAGATTGCCGACTTTTTGAAGGCTGGTATAAGGGTAAGTTTGTTTTACTGTTATTTTTTTGTTTTTAGGGAATTAAAGAGGACTCTGATTCAAATATTAAAGAGGGATCTAATTCTCATTGGTGATATTAGTTTTGTTCATAAGTTCTCTCAAACGAAATATATGAGATAAAAGTTTCTGTGATTTTTTATTTACTTTTTTAACAATTGCAATAAAATTTGTTTTAAACTTTATAAAATTTCATGTTGTTAAATTGTGAGGGATAATAATATTTTTATGTGTATAATTCAAAACCAAAATTTTTCAGGTAACTATTTTGTTTGCTGATCTTCACGGGTTTTTGGACAATCTCAAGAGTACATTTGAGCTTCTGGAAAATCGGGTCAAGTACTACGAGCATGTTATCAAGGCTTTGTTGACAGCTTTTGATGTGCCTATTGACAAACTTCATTTTGTCAAAGGAAGTGACTATCAGCTAAAAGAGTAGGTTTATAGTCGTATAATAGTTTCTTTGATTTTTAGGGATTACACCAAGGAAGTGCTACGACTTTGTGGTCAAGTTAGTCAAAGGGACGCTTTAAAAGCCGGAGCTGAGGTGGTCAAGCAGGTAAGATAATATGAAGTTTGCTAAAAGGAATAGTTTTCATATATGGATTTTGTTTTTACTTTGGGAAGATTAGTCATTTTAGACCGTTTTTGGATTTAAATTTTGATTCATACTTTTGTAGGTATCAAGCCCATTGCTCTCTGGAATGATGTACCCTCTGCTTCAAGCTCTGGATGAAGCATTCCTAAAGGTAGATGCTCAATTTGGAGGGGTAGATCAACGGAAAATTTTTATTTTGGCAGAAGAACAACTACCAAAACTTAAGCTAGGAAAACGATACCATTTTATGAATCCAATGGTGCCAGGTCTAACAGGAGCTAAAATGAGCTCGTCTGAAGCAGACACCAAGATTGACCTATTAGATGCTCCCGAGCTTGTGGAAAAGAAAATTATGGGAGCCGCTTGTCCAAAGAAAGAAGAAAGTGAAGAGAATGGTGTTTTGTCATTTTACGAATATGTAGTTTTGACCAATTGTGACAGTTTGGTGTTCAAGAATGGTGTTGTAGTACATACTGCGGAGGAATTGAGGGAGGCTTTTGAAAGTGGTAGGTTTTTGTTCTTTTTAATTTTTTAATTAAGGGAGCTTTAAAATAAGCTTTTTACGATCAAAGTGTCAAATGTATATTATAACGATATTATTGTAGACAAAGTCAGTGCTGAAGAGCTGAAATCAGAGTTAGTTGAATTTTTGAATAAAATATTGAGCATGGTGCAAGAAAAGTGTGATAACGATGAAGTCCGCGAAATTATTGCCAAGGGCTACGCTACAATTGAGGCTGGAGAAGCTCATGAAATAGAAAAAGTTCCAAATTTGAACGAAGATGCTTTAGGCTTTTTGGCTAAAGTTGAGGAAAATGGATCTAAAGTAAGATTTCGTGATGTTTTTGGGTAGGATAATGTAATTTAGAAGAATGAAAATTATGGTTTTTTAAACTTATGCCGTCCTTTTCAGATTTATCAATCAAAACGCCTAATTGACACACTAAACGCTAAGAAAGCACCAAAAGTCTTGTGGAGGGTACCAATCAAAGGCAAGGTCAATTTGGGACATGTCGCTGCACTTTTACAATTGGAAAAACTCCAAAAAGCTGGAGCCGAAATTGTTATTTTACTGTCTGACTTGGGAGCATTTTTGGATAATGAGAAATGCCAATGGAAAGCGATTGAAGGAAGAATGACATACTACGAAAACATGATCAAATCACTCTTGAAGCATATGAAGATAGACAATGTAGATGTTAAGAAGAGCACGGACAACGAGTACAATGAGTAAGAAAACAATATGTTTACTGAGAATTAACAAAAAAACTTAATTTTTCAATCTATTTTATGTTGTTATAGGTAAAATGTGCCATTTTAAGTCATATTTATCTTTAAAACTCAAACTTTCAATAACAACTTTATTTTCAGGGCCTACACAATTGAAATGTACAAAGTGGCAAGTCACATCACGAGAGACGAATCTGCTTTAGTTAGTGGTACTACGTTAGCCACGAACTTGGTACCAGTTTACAGATACTTGGATTCACACTTTGCAAATGTTGACTTGGTTTTGGTTGGGGATTACGAACAAAATTACGTGGAATTGGCTGAAAAGGTAAAGATAATAATGAAAACGGTGGAGCGGAAACTTTTGTTATCTAAAATATTATAAAATGGACGTGGGTTGACCTAAATTGATTAAAAATTAAAGTTTTGTTACCTAAAAATTCATAAAGGTATAATTTCAGATTAGTGACAGACTAGCCCTACCACGACAAGCCCATATGACATACGAAGCCCTACAAGGCACGGACGGAAAACGAATGTCATCTACGGTACTCGACTTTTGCCTCGACCTAACTGACACTCCCAAAATGTTCCAAAACAAAATCAAAAAATCATTTTGTGAACCAGGAAACCTGAATGGCAACATTGCTTTACATTTGGCTGATAAGCTGGTATTCCCGTTGAGCGAGGAGAAAGGTAAATGATTTTTTGTTATAATGGTCCAAAAAGTCTTGGCGTTGTTTTATAGGTATTTTCACGTTGAAAAACGACAAGATTTTTTTTGTAGTTTCAGTAGGCATAAAACTATGCTTTAGAGATGAAAAATCAATTTTTAAACTTTAAAAAGGACTTTTTTGAATCAAATGCTATGTCTTTTATGGTACAATACTAAATTTTAAAGTTGGCTAAATTTCAGAGCTGACAATTGAAAGAGACGACCAAAATGGAGGTAACCTGACCATCAACACCCCTCAAGAACTGTCAAAACTTTTTGCCGAAGAAAAGCTACATCCCTCGGATCTGAAAGCATTTGTCATCAAAAAGCTGGTTGATTTCACGACCAAAGTCCAAAAAGACTTCAACGACAAGGATTTGGCCAATTTGTTGAAAGCTGCCTTCCCACCAGCACCAAAAGGCGGCAAAAAGAAGTAAAATGACAATAATGTCATAAAGTACTTGAAGATTGTTAATTTTTTTGTTCTGTGGTATTGTATAAGTGATAAGTTGATAATAAAGTTGTTTTATATATTGTTTAGTTTGATGTATTTTGGTAATGTTGTGAACCAAGGTTTCAAATGTTGTACTTATGGTGTGAAAGTGATTTTTTTAGGTTTTTGCGTGTAATTCTAACTTTTTTAATGGTTTTATGGACAGCAAATAAAATTTGAAAATATTTTGTTAACATAGCATAAATTTCGTTACTATATACAGTGATAAGCCCAAAAATTTGTGTTGTCTCATCACAAACCTTAAATTTTTTTAAAAGTACAACAAGGATATTAGAACTACTACAACAATAAAAAAAAGAAAATAGATGTAAATATCAATAAAGTAATTGATATTCATTTCTCAAGCTGATAAAAACTGGCAAAACATACTTTTTTCGAAGTTATTAATATTAAAATCAGTTTAATAGGGCTAAATTGTCTAAAACAATAAAAAGAATAGCACAAATTGGGCTGTATTGATCAAAAGGCATTAAGAATATTGATTTTTTTACAAAAATAGTTTTAAAAAACCAAAAATCTAGTAAAATAATGTTTAAGTAATTTAAATCAGCCGAAGCCCAGCCCACTCTAGGCCTATATAAACTAAAACTTTTATCAGTCAAGTCAACCATTTTTTGTTGTTCTAGTACCATACTAACTTTAAAATCTTTAAAATGAACGTTTTGTCATTCCTCATGTTCTTCTTCACCATCATGATGGTTAACGCTGGACATCCCTGCGAAACGAATGCTGATTGCAAACCTTCAGTATATGCTTATTGCTTTAATGGAGAATGTGTCCAAATTCACCCACCTCTTCTCAACAAGAAGGAGAAGAGGGATGTTACTCCTCCTATTAAATCTTAATAAATAGTACTGTTTTTATTACTATGTTGTTAACAGCTTATGAATACGATACCTGACAATTTTTAATATGTATAATTTTTTTGAAATAAATGTGCGCACATTTGAAAATTATGGCATTTGGAAAGTATAATACATAATATAATAGATTAACATTGTTCATTAGCTTTAGGGATACTGGATTTAAGCTTGGACTTAATAGGTTCAGGATTTGTAGGCTTAGGCTCAGTAGGCTCAGCCTTAGCAGACTTAGGCTTAGCAGGCTTAGGCTTAGTAGGCTTAGGACTAGTAGGCTTAGTCTTAGTAGGCTTAGGCTTAGTAGGCTTAAAATTGCTATTCTTAGACTTATTAGGCTTAGGCTAAGTTTGGCATAGACTTTGGTTTAGTAGGCTTAACTTTAGTAGGCTTAGGTGGGCTAGGCTTAAGTTTGAAGTCAGTATTAATAATTTGCGGCATCATATAATAAATATTGAGTTGCAAAAACAAAAAGTAAAATTACTATACTCGCAGTAATTTGTTGGGTCGTTTTACATCGAGGCAAATATTACAAGAAACATAAAAATTGCATAAGAAGCGTTGCGCAATCCAATTTCTTGCATTTTCTTTAAGGCTATTCTCTTATAACATAAAATTAGGTAATATAACGAAAAATTAAAAATTCGGGTAATATCGCGCAGGAACATCGGTTTCATTGCTTGTGTATGATTTTACTATTAATAGCTTACAAGGTCAGAGTCATCAAGTACAGCGTTAATTAGCGTAGGCTTAGTAAATTTAGGCTTATTAGCATGCTTGAAGTAGTATTAAGATTAGTAGGACTAGAGTTAGGGGTAGGGCTTATTTAAGCCCAAAACCGATGTCAATACGAAAACAAGATGTCGAATTCGGAACACAGTGAAGGTAATCTTATTTTTTATTTATTCAAAGATGACGAGTATTGAAAAAGTCGAATTTAAATAAATTTATTCAAATTTTAATTTTTTAATTTTTAAAATTTTTATATATTATTTTTCTCGAAAGACCCATTTTGACTTTTTTCATTTTGAACTTACTTATACCAGTTTTTGTTTATAAAAACGTGTCATTTAACCATTGTTTCATATGAAGATTTTGGTAAGAGCATGGTTAACATTAATTGTGTTTTTAATCCTATCAGGACTTGTGTTATATGGTCCGGAATTCCTGAGAAGTAATCTCTCTGTTGGTTGGAGGAAAATTCGAAAAAGAAATGGCGACAAGACGGATTTTGTAGCGGATATCAAGATAACTTACCAGTCGATGAAAGGTAAGGTTTTGGTTATTCATTTTTTGGGTTTTTAGGTCGATGGGAAGAATTTTGGGTTTATAATGAAGTTTTCATGTATAAAGGAAATTTTGTTACATAAAATAATTTTTTTGGACATTTTGTTATCTAAAACAATATTTTTGGCCATTTTGTTACCTAAAATGATACTTTTTGTTTAAAATGAATTTTTTTGTGGAAGATGACATTTCCATTTCTAAACTGACATTTTGACCTCATAGTGAAAGTTTCATTCCTAAAACCTAATTTTGTTACCTAAAATAATATAGTCTCTCATTTTCAGATTGGATAGGGCCAAATAACAATATTAATGGTACCACAGTAGCCGAACAGCCCAAAATAAAGGTAAATGTGGAAGAGATGGAATGTAAACTACCTGATTTGGACCCATGGCACGAAAAGGCATTGCCTTATATTAACAAAACTAGCAATCCCTTGGATGGATGTATAGCCAGTTTCACTGAAATCACTTATATTAAGGATGGCAAAGTTAGATTGAATAAGACGCTGGATACGGAAGGCATCAGGTGTTACTTTAGGTACGTTTTGGTTTGATTTCTTGGGTTTTTAGGTAATTTTTGGATTGAAAATGAAGATTTTAGGTAATAATTGAGCTTTTTTGCTGTTTTTATGGAATAAAACTAGATAATTAGGTAGCATTCGACCAATAATTTATTGTTATAGATATATTTCTTACTGAATTTTTTGTTTTTAGCTAGTTTTCTACGTATTTTTTGACTTCCGCCGTTTTAGATGTTACTACCACAAGAATGAATTCTTTATTGATATTGGAAATTGGACGAGCATCAGACACAAACCGGATTGTGATATAGTTGAAGTTAATTGCACAAAAGTGAATGACGAAGATTATACCTACAACACAATGCATGCCCAGATTTATCGACCGTAAGAAATCTTTATTTTTTAAAGATTTTTTATTAAAAATGACTTTTTTAGTTTAAACTGACACTTTAAATCTAAAATTACATTTTTTATCAAAATTTTTTTGTTTTTTAATTTTTAGGTAACAAAGTCTAGTATTAACAGCAATATCACTTAACTAGAAAAAAATTATTTTAGTGACACATCTGAGACCAAACCCACTATCTCCGAAAGTTCAGATATTGACTCTTCACCTCCACCAGACCCTGCTGCTTCATCTACTGATACACCTGATCGTATTGACCTAGTAAAACCAACAAACATAACTCCACCAAACCCCCTCCCCGATGTCCACATGATTGTATTTGACTCAGTAGCTCATACTCAATTCATCAGATCGATGCCTTCTACTGTGCATGTGCTACGCGACGAAATGGAAGCCATCGCCTTTCCGTATGTTAACAAGATTGGCATTAACAGTCGGCCGAATGGGTACGCTATGTTGTTTGGTAAACAGGCCTTCAAGGTGGAGAAGTCTGCAATCAATGATCAACACAATTGTAATGTTACTATGCAGGAATTGTGTCGTAGATACTTGGACTCGGAGCAGTTTGTGCCGTTTGAATTTCAGAAGAAGGGTTACAAGACATTGTGGGCTGAGGACTGGGTAGGGGCTCTTTTTACTTGGCCGAAATGTCGGGGATTTGCTAAACCTTCAGCTGATCATTACATGAGGTAGGCTTATATTAGTGTGTTATCTAGACTTATAGCGATTTGTCTTATGCATATATGCTTATGATGTTTTAAGAATAGAGTAAGACATGGTAGGATAAGATTGTTACATTGGTAGGTCTAAATGACAGTAATTATAGGAACGACAGATTTTAAGGGAAACAAAATAGGAATTTTAGGCTTAGCAGTGAATTTTAGTCTTAGCACTGAATTTTAGGCTTAGCAGTGAATTTCAAGCCTAGGAATGAATTTTAGGCTTAGCACTGAATTTTAGGCTTAGGGGTGAATTTTAGGCTTAGCACTGAATTTTAGGCTTAGCAGTGAATTATAGGCTTAGCAGTGAATTTTCGGCTTAGCAGTGAATTTTAGGCTTAGTAAACAATTTTTGGTTTAGCAGCTTAATTTTACGTTTACTTGAAAATTTTAGTCTTAGCAACGATTTTTAGGCTTAGCAACGACCTTTAGGCTTAGTAGAAAGCTTTAGGCGAGAGTTTTAGGCTTAACGTGCTACATTAGGCTTAGCAGGATATTTACAAATTTTTTGAGTAAAAAGGGTTTACAAGAGCGGGCTTTTGTAGGGTGATGTACGGTAATGTACTGTGCCCTACCATATTATTTTAGCAAAGTTAATTATTAAATCGTGAATATCTAAAAACTACATATTGTTTAGGCCATTCCAACTTCGATTGGAGAGTGGTAGGTATGGGGAAGGCGGCACATTGAAAGAGCAGATGTTAAATCAAATGTGTAAAGAACGTCACGAACATCTTATAGATTACCTGAAAGACTTTATCAACAAGTATCCTGATCAGCCAAAGTTTTCACTAACTTGGCTGAGTTCTCTAGCTCACAACGATAATAATGGACTGTTTCATGTGGATATGTACTTTAAGACGTTTTTAAGAGAATTCAAGGAAAAGGCAAGGTTTGAATTTAGGTTTTTTTTAAATTTAAAATGTAAATTTAAAAAGAAAAATATGAAAACTGTCGATTTCAGTTTAGTAACTCGTTTTTGTTCATAATGGGTGATCATGGCTTTCGATTTGGAGGCATAAGGAAGACAAAGCTCGGCGAAGTCGAGGACAACAACCCTTTGTTAATGATGGTACTGCCAGAACATTTAAGAAAGAACAGACAATTGGTCAATAATATGAAGGACAACGCCAAAATTTTGAGTACCCACTTTGATACCTTTGCTACATTGGTCGATATTGCTCATGTAAGATGTAGGGGTAGTGTGAGATAGAGTAGTAGAGTAGGGGAGTGTAGGGTAGGGGAGACGAGGATTGGGTGTTGTAATAAGTGTACTGTGGAGAGGAGGATAGGACTGGGTAAAATAGAACAGGTTAGAGCTTGGCTATGGAAATTGTTTTTGAATTTTAATTTTTTAGAATGCCCACAAATTCACCCACAACTCGACCTTCAAAAACTTTGACAAGTCAGAAATCAACTTGACAATCAATGGCGAAAGCTACTTCCACCCCTATAAATTGGACAAGAAACGAAATTGCAATAACTTGAGAATACCATTCGACCACTGTATATGTCAACATCAACAAAACAACATAAGTAACGAGAAAGAATTTGCTGAACGACTGGCCAGTTTTATGTTGACACAAGTTAATCTAGCTCTGGTAGAGCAAAATCAAACCGATTTGTGTGTGGAATTGACATTGAACACGAATGCTCCAATTGAAGTGTTGGAGTTTGAGCCGAATTTGATGTTCAATGCTTTTAAAGTCACTTTTAATGTGAGTTATACATGTCTAGGATACCCTTTCTTACTTCTACAAAGGTTTTATAATGTAATGTTTTAGGTATTGCCTGGAAATGGTCAATTATGGGGATTTGTTCAAATCGACGGCGATCGAAGTGATAAAAATGCCAAAATCTCGATGATTTCGGAACGTATGTCGAGACTGGACGAGTACGAACCGACCGCTTTTTGTTGTAGAAACGCTTATGTAAGTTTTGATATAATATTGTTACCTAAAATTAAAAAAAAAGTTTGTAGTTTAAAAAAGTGAAAATAATGGTTTTGATTACTTAAACCTTGATAATAAAACAGTTTTGTTACCTAAAATCCAAGGTTTTTTATAAATTTTTTTCATCGCTTTATATATGATGTTATCTATGGTTATTTCAGGTAAAAGAATACTGTTACTGTAGAGAAAACCTCTACACAACCACTACAACGACGACGACAGAGGCTCCATAAAGTGGCTCTACCTAACCAACTGTAATATAAACAAATGTTTTACTTTTAGTATTATCCTTTGCTATTAAATAGTATTATAATAAAGTATTTTAACTTGAAGAGTTATTTTGTTCTACAATCATTAACTTTTTTGGTTTTCTTACAAGGAACGTACCCAACTTGCCCCGCTTTGATTGACTTCAACCGACATTTTAGGTAACAAAATTTGATTTTAAGCTTAAAAACGTCATTTTAGTTGATTATGTAAATAGAAGATCTTCAGCAAAGTACTAAATCGCGTTTTCCAGGAACTCTCGAGAAAATAGAGATTAAAAAATCACGTTGAACTTCCGCCAAATTGACATTGTGTTTCAAGTTTATAACTTTGTCATTTTTTGACTTTTAATAACTTTTCTTTGATATGCTAGTAGAATACCTTTAAATAAACCTACATTTTTAAATTTGTAAATGTGGCTTGTCTAGAAAGCCGAAAAAATGCTTGAAACACAATGCCAAATTTGTCAAATTGGCGGGAAACTGAAAAAATTTAAATTTAAAACTCAAAAGCGCGAGTAAAAACTTTTTATAGGTACTATTGGTGGTACAAAGAATTGATATAAAAATTTTGAGCTGATTCTGAGTGGGGCAGGTCGGGTACTTTTGTGAATTATTGTTTTGAATTTGTTATGTTCAAAACGTTTTTATTCTCAATTTTAGCTTGAAAAACGTGTCATTTTACGATTTTTTCAAAAGTAATAGAAATTTATGCATATTTTTCATAACATTTCTAAAATTTTTTTTCAATTTCAAATTCATTTTTCACTTTTTTTCATAAAATTTACGGCTTTTTCAAATGAAATTTTTGATAAAGTCATGGATAACAATACTGGTGGTCTTTATCATAGTGACATTTGTAGTATATCGCCCCGAGTTTCTCAACAATAATGTCTCTTTTGGTTGGAGCAAAATTCTAAAAAGAAATGGCAACAAAACGAATATTGTGGTGGATATCAAGCACAATAACCAGTCGATGAAAAGTAAGGTTTCGATAATTTTTTTTGCGTTTTTAGGATAAAAAGGAGAATTTTAGGCTTAAAGTGTGGATTTTTATATGTTTTGTCATCTAAATTTTTATTTATGATTAAAGATTACACTTATCTTTCTTATTATAACATTTTTATACTTCAAAACAAATTTTGTTACCTAAAATGCCGGTCTTATGCCTAAAATCAAATTTTGTTACCTAAAATGTCCGTCTTATGCCTAACATCAGAATTTGTTACCTAAAATGTCGGTTTTAAGCCTAAATTCAAAATTTTGTTACCTAAAACAATATTTACTTTTATTTTCAGATTGGATACTGCCAATTAACAATACAAATGATCAAAACTACAATTCATATCAGAATAAGATAAAACTAGAAGAGCTGGAATGCAAACTACCTGATTTGGACCCATGGCACGAAAAAGCATTGCCCCATATTAACAAAAACAGCAATCCCTTGGATGGATGTGTAGTTAATTTCACTGAATTCACTTATATTAAGGATGGTAAAGTTAGATTGAATAAGACGCTGGATACAAAAGGCACCAGGTGTTACTTTAGGTACGTTTTGGCTTGATTTCTTGGGGTTTTAGGTAATATTTTGATTGAAAGGAATATTTTAGGTAATAATTGAGCTTTTTTGCTGTTTTTTTTGGATAAAACATGATATTTAGGTAACATGTGACCAAAAATATGTTGTTATAGACAACGTTTCGACTAAAAATCTTATTTTCGATGTATTTTTTTAACCATTGCCATTTCAGATGCTACTACAATAAGAGTGAATTCGAAATTGAATTTGGAAATTGGACGAGCATCAGGCACAAACCGGATTGTGACATAGTTGAAGTTAATTGCACAAAAGTGAATGACAAAGCTTATACCTACAACACAATGCATGCCCAGATTTATCGACCGTAAGAAATTTTTATTTTTTTAGAAAAATGACATTTTTAAATAGTGAACATATCACGTTATATCGATACGCCATTTTTTCTTCAAAGCCGTCTTTTACCTGATATAGGTATATTTTAGTGACGCCTCTGGAGTTAAACCTGCTTTAAAAAACTCAAATGTTGACTCTATTTCTCCACCTGACCCTGCTGCTCCATTTACTGATACACCTGACCGTATTGACCTAGTAAAACCAACAAACCTAACCCCACCAAACCCCCTCCCAGATGTCCACATACTTGTATTCGACTCAGTAGCTCATACTCAATTCATCCGGTCGATGACAACTACCATGCACGTGCTACGCGACGAAATGGAAGCCATAGCCTTTCCGTATGTTAACAAGATTGGCATTAACAGTCGGCCGAATGGGTACGCTATGTTGTTTGGTAAACAGGCCTTCAAGGTGGAGAAGTCTCCAATCAATGATCAGTACGATCCTAATGTTACTATGGAGGAATTGTGTGGTAGATACTTGGATTCGGATCAGTTTGTGCCGTTTGAATTCAAGAAGAGAGGGTATACGACAATGTGGGCTGAGGACTGGGAAATAGCACTTTTTACTTGGCCGAACTGTCGTGGGTTCGCTGAAACTCCAGCTGATCATTACATGAGGTAGGTTCGTATAGAGGCTCGAGCTATTATAATATATGGGTTCGGCAGAGAATTTTAGGCTTAGGAGCACGTTTTAGGCTTAAAAATCTAAATCTAAACAATTTTAGATTTGACAGAGGATTTTTGTTATGTAAGGGTTAGTATGTGACACTTCTAGGGGGTAGAACTATATAGACCATAACTTCTGAACAACTTTTCTTCCAGACCCTTCCAACTCCGGCTGGACCGCTACAACTATAAGCAAGACGGCACAATGAAAGATCAATTGCTGAGAAAGATGTGTAAAGAACGTCACGAACATGTGATAGATTACCTGAAGGACTTTATCAATTCCTACCCGGATAAGCCAAAGTTTTCTTTAACCTGGCTGAACGAGCTGGCACACGACAACAATAATGGACTGTTCCATGTTGATATGTACTTTAAGAAGTTTTTTAGAGAGTTTAAAGAGAAGGTAGGGGTTGGAGGTTTTGAAATTTGTTTTGGTTTTTTTAAAATGACATATTTATGCTCAAAAAGTCAAATATTTCGTTGTGGGACCTAAGTTGGACCTAGGGGACTTTGGTTTGAGCCTCGGTCTCTTTCAAACTTGCTTCGGGCTGGCCTAGTGGGTTGATTATTTAGGTCTAGCTGAAAGGAAATTTAATTTTGTTTAAAAATTGATTGTTTTTAATTTATAAAGAAAATTTAAAAAAATATCGATTTCAGTTTAGTAACTCGTTTCTGTTCATAATGGGTGATCATGGCTTTCGATTTGGAGGCATAAGGAAGACAAAGCTCGGCGAAGTCGAGGACAACAACCCTTTGTTAATGATGGTACTGCCAGAACATTTAAGAAAGAACAGACAATTGGTCAATAATATGAAGGACAATGCTAAAATTTTGAGTACTCACTTTGATACTTTTGCTACTTTGGTTGATATTGCTCATGTAAGTGGTTGAGTAGGGTTGGGTAGGAGAAGGTAGAGTGGGGTAGGGTATTATAGGGTAAAGTGGAAGCGAGGGTAGGACTGGGTAACTTAGAACAGACTAGGGCTCGGCTATGGCAATTTCTTTTGAATTTCAACACTTTTCAGAACGCCTACAACTTCACCCACAACTCGACCTTCAACAACTTTGACAAGTCAGAAATCAACTTGACAATCAATGGCGAAAGCTACTTCCACCCCTATAAATTGGACAAGAAACGAAATTGCCATAATCTGAGAATACCTTTAGATCTGTGTATATGTCAACATGAACGAGAAGATATAAGTAATGAAAGGGCATTTGGTGAGCGACTAGCTAATTTTATGCTAGAACATGTTAACCAAGCTCTGGTCGAGCAAAATCAAACTGATTTGTGTGTGGAATTGACGTTGAACACGACTGCTTCGATTGAAGTGGTGGAGTTTGAGCCCAGCTTGAGGTTTAACGCTTTTAAAGTCACTTTTAATGTGAGTTATGACATGTTTATAGCCTTTTGTAATCCGACCAGAGTTTTCATTACTGTATAAAGATATTGTTTCAGTTATACGATTTTTACACCGTTGTATACTGTAATGTTTTAGGTATTGCCTGGAAATGGTCAATTATGGGGATTTGTTCAAATCGACGGCGATCGAAGTGATAAAAATGCCAAAATCTCGATGATTTCGGAACGTATGTCGAGACTGGACGAGTACGAACCGACCGCTTTTTGTTGTGAAAACTTTTTTGGAAGTTTATATAATTTTTAATGGTTTTGTTACCTAAAATTGAAAAAACGTGATAAAATAATTTGATTACCTAAATTTTAATAAAAAACTAGTTTTGTTACCTAAAATGTTAAAGTTTTTATCAAGTTTTTTCTATCCCCTCTTATATGTTGTTAACTATGGTTATTTTAGGTAAAACCATACTGTTTCTGTGGAGAACTCTTCAACTCAACCACCACAACAACGACGACACAAGCTCCAGAAAATGACTCTACATAAACAAAAACAACTGTAATATAAACGAATGATCTATGTGTTGTATTATATTTTTTTGAAATTGACATGTTATACTATCAAACATGCCTAGAATTTTTTGGGCAAAAATAAGAACAGGCCAAAATTTTTTTAAAATTCTTTGGAGGGGTAAAAAAAATTTAAAAGGCAAAGGTAGGGTAAGAAGGGTCAGGGCAAGGTAACGTAGCTTAGGCTAGGATTGGTTAGGAGTGTATAATGAAATTTTACATTAATAGCCTTTTTTTAAATAAACTCGATTTTATTTCAATATTTTTGGATATAGCGCTAAATAAAAGTCAATAAAAATATTACTTATCATCTTAATCTCTGGCTCTTGTGAGCCAAACATGGCTCAAACAATTAGTTATTGTAGACCTGACTTTCATTCATTGTATGATTGTTGATAGAGTAGGCTGGGGCTTCACCCGGTATGAACCAGCATATATCCGCAATGCAAATGAAAAACAACGGGCATTGACCGTCCTTGCATGGCCAGTACTGTGCCAATGAAGTTGTGACAAACAAAGCTAAATACACGAGAATGATGGGTAGTAATTTCATTTTAGCGTAGAAATGATAGACGAATTGTATGATAATAAGTGATGTACAGAAAGGGGAATGTATTATAAGGTTAGACGAATGTAATGTAAGCCTAATGATTTACAAAATAATGTGAAAATTAAACAAAAATTAGATTTTAAAAACAATTTTTTAACATTTTTAAACGTTTTTCCCATTACAATTTGATTTTTTTACTGTTTTAATGTGTTTTTTAAGTTTAAAAGTCTTGTCGCTTTTTACCTTTATATGTAATGTAAAGCAGCGACAAGACTTTTTGCCACATAAAAACCTTTAAATTTTTAAATTGTTTAAAAAAGCATGTAAATCAAGACATTTTTAAGTTTTTCTCAAAGCAGTTATATTTAAAATGGCAATTTTATTTGAAAAAACATTAAATTTAAAAAATTTTAAATTTTAAACAACTTGATTTTTGGTTTAGACATAGTATAAAAGCACTTTTTTCATCTTATACTCTATAGTGTTTTCAATTTTATAATAGTCTAAGAATTGTATAGTACGATGAAGTTGTTCTCAATTGCAGTGCTACTTGTTGCTTTGGTTGCGACAACTTTTGTTGAAGCTGGAAAGCGCTGTAGAAGAGATAGCGATTGCCATGACAAAGCCTTGGTTTGTCGTCATTTTACTTGTGTTCCACGTTAGTAACGTCGCAATTATAATGTCAACTTATCTTGATTTGAAATAAAATTTGAAGCATGCATTTTGTAAGGGCATGGTAAATTTGTTTTTAGACTGAAGATGGTCTTTAGAGCAAGGTAAATAGGGTTTCTGGGCTAGAGTAAAGGTTGGAGTAAATAGGGTTTTAGAGTAAGGTAAAAATAAATTATAGTCAAGGGTGGATATTGTAGTAAAATGACTTTTAAGGTTCGTTAAACCGACCGCTATGGGGGGGGGGAGGGGGAGGAGAGTGAGAAACGGGCCGGGCCTAAAAAGTGTGTTTCTGACCCCTACCGCTCTGATTGGGTACTAAGTGTACGGAAACCATGACAAATCGGTTGCTTGGCCTTCATAGGCTTTCGACTATAGCCTGAATTCTTCAGGAGCACCTTATTACGAATTGGTAGCTTGAGAAAGGATCACCTGAACGGGGCCCACTTGGGAACTGCTACAATAGATTGCTCTAAAGGCAGTGTTTTTCCAGTCCGGTCCGCGGACGGGTCCGAAGTGGACCGGACGGACCGAAACAATAATTTTTGCCGACCGGACCGAAAAATTTGAAGTTTGGACCGGACCCAAAAATCGCCGGATCGGTGAAAAACGCTCCGGACCGGCCCATGCAAAACACTCTATATAGGTCTTTACCAACCTCTCATCATTGATAAAGCTTGGTTTAAAATTTTTAAAACAATTTCAAAAATCAAAAAATAATTAAAATTAATGTGAAAATTTAAAATTTTATTTCAAATGGCATGGGAAAATTAAAAAATTTGAAACATTACATGTACATAAAATTTAAAAAACACTATTTAAAATGAATTTTAAATTCAAAAACGTCTATAAACACCAATTTTATGTGGGAAAACCGTCCATCATAACTTGTATATAAACCGTCGTTTGATCGACCAACATTACATTGTAACTTTCGTTTCTTACATTGTACTGCCTAAGGCATCATGAAATTGTTCACCGTCTTTGTCCTCGTCTTTGCTTTGTTTGCTACAACTTTGGCTGTAGGAATAGACTGTACCGAAGACAGTATGTGCCCAGATGGTATGAAGTGCTTTAAGCATATATGCCGCGATGTCAGCCCAGGCTCTTAAATTGAGTATCTGGACTAAAATGTTTGGTTTTTATATTTAATAAATTTGGCAAGTAAACTACGGAATCAGTATATATAATAGTCCTTTTAGGTCAATGAAGACTTAACATTGGGCTTGGAAACTAGGCAGCGACAAATACATAGTAGAATTTTGATCACAGTACAAAAGTAAGGTTGTAGTAGAAAAAAATATAAGAATAGATAAAACTTTGAATAACTATCTCTAGCCCAAAACCCTATTCCAAAGTTCTAGCTTTAGCCTTTGCCTTAGTCTTAGCCTTAGCCTTGCAGTAAGTTCATTAATAAGGAAAAAGTTTATTATGTAGAATACAGTCTTAGTACTATAACAAAAATACCACATACTATTTAAAAAACTTCGCAAAATTTAAAACTTCAATTTCGGCCTTTAAATCCAAGCATAGTACTGTCAGTTCCAGTGTAGTCATATATAGCATCCACACATGATTGTGGCATGAAGGTACCAGCAAACTTTATAAAATACAAAAATCTTGGTAGAATCAAATCTACAGTATCTGTGAGTACGGCGTCTACTATACGATCAGCTACGTAATCTGGCTCTAGGATTGGGCATACGTACCGTAATCTTAATTAATGTTACAGTAGTATATCATGACAGAATTATAACATTAAGCAAAAAGATTAGGCAGTTCAATTAATTTTGTGCTCCCCTTCCATCTCAAACCTAATTTTCAAAATTAGAGAGCACAGAATTATTTGAAAACCCAAATATCATTTTAGGTAATACTTTAGTAAAATACTCACCTTGACTCAGTAACCCCCTCAAACATGCCAGTATTGATATAGTACGGAGATACTGTAGTCGTCTTTACATTTGACTTTCGAAATGCAAGTTCTCGATACAATGACGACATAAAACCGACAGCTGCATGCTTACTGGCACAGTAATCAGTCAACCCTATCATACCAGCATGGCCAGCAATTGAAGCCATAGTTACTATGTGACCTTCATCAGCGTCTAGCATTTCTGATAAAAAGGCTTTTGTTACCTAAAAATGGCGTTTTCAGGGAGATTACAATAAGGAAAGGTAGGGTATGGTAAGGTAGGGTAAAGCAGTTTAGAGCAGGATGGGCTGAATTAGATTGATCTCAATTGAAATGGAAGCTAAACTGAGCTGAACTGGGCCGGGCTGGGATGGGCTAAGAGAGCAAGGCAAGACAAGTCAAGGCAAGGCAAGACAAGACAAGGCAAGGCAAGGCAAGGCAAGGCAAGGCAAGGCAAGGCAAGGCAAGGCAAGGCAAGGCAAGGCAAGCCAAGCCAAGCCAAGCCAAGCCAAGCCAAGCCAAGCCAAGCCAAGCCAAGTCAAGCCAATATAAGCCAAGCCAATCCAAGCCAAGTCAAAATCTAGCCCAGCCGAGGCCAGCCCAGCCCAGCCTAGCTCATCCTAGCTCCGCTCAGCCCAGCCCAACCCAGCCCTGCCCAGACCAGCAAAGTCAAGCCAAGTCAAGCCAAGCCAAAAACTTACATAAAACAGTGATTTAACATTGACATCAATGGTCAATTCCATGCTTTCATCAGACAACTCGACCAAGTCTTGGCCACTAACTATACCCGCATTGTTGATCACCATATAAACATCACCAACCTGTTGCTTCACTTTTACTGCTGTAGAATATATTGATTGTTTGTCGGCGAGGTTTACTGTGTAGGCGTGGGCCTGGAATCCACTTTTTATATGTTATGTGTCATAAAATTGTCATAGCTATGTAATTTTAAAAGAAAATGTCATCAAAATGTCACTTTTCAAAAATATGTCAAATTTATGTCATTTTTAATGTAATTTCACAAAAGCGTCATTCTTGAAAGTATTTTTTGCTAAAATCTTACAGTAGGTGGTACAAAACTTACAGTAATCCCTTTTTGCTTTAAAATTTTCAAAGTTTCTTTATTTCCTTTTTCATTTACATCCCACAGTAATATGATTGCACCAAGTTCACCAAACTAAAAATTTAATTTTTTTTAAAATTTAATATAATGTCATTTTAATTTAGAAATTTAAAAAATCAAAAAAAATTTTAAATTTAATTAAAAGTCATTTTAAATTTAAATTAAACTTTTTTTAAATTTCAAAAAATTTAAAATTACCTCACCTTAATAGCCAAAAGTCTTCCAATGCCACTAGCGGATCCAGTGATAAGACAAACCTTGTTTTTGATGCTTTTTCTTGGCAAAACTCCAGCTGGTATTAAAGCTGTAATAGTACCACAAACAGCATTTAAAGTATATTTAAGCAAAAATAACAAAAAGTGAAGAACTTCGTACAGTAAATCAAATTCTTGCTCTGAAATGGCAGTTTGTTATTGTGGAATTTAAAAGTCGTAAACTACCCTACCCTACCCTTCAAATTTTCTCTGGCTTTTTTTAGGCCTACCCTTCTTCTATTATAACAATAAAAAGTATTTTAGAGTAATAACTTCCCCTTACCTTGTTCCATTTAGCAAAGCAGCAAAATGAATTGACAAAAGCAAAAGTTTAGGTTAGTTAATTAAGTAAGAAGCAGAGTTTAATGTCAATAACACAACAATGAATTTAATCTCGTTAACGACTGTTTTTAGTTTATACGCAAAATTAAAAGGAAGGGAAAAATAAGGTGAACTTTATAGTATGGTAAATCTAAGGTCAAAAGGTAGGTTTTATGGCAGGGTAATTTATGTAGACTTTACGGTAGGATGCTTAGGATAAAGCAGCTGTAAAGTTACCATATAATAGCCAAATAATTTTTTTATTTTAAATGAAAAACAGGCTGGACTAAGCTACGGATAAGGCAACATAGGGCTAGACTAATCCTAAAGCTAGGACTTAGACTAGAAGTAGAGCTAGGGCTCTGGACTAAGACTCTGGGCTCTGGACTAAGACTCTGGACTCTGGACTAAGACTCTGGGCTCTGGACTAAGACTCTAGGCTCTGGACTAAGACTCTGGGCCAGGGTTCTAGGCTCTGGGCTCTCGGCTCTGGGCCCTATACTTACAGTACCCTTGTTACTATACTGTACTTGCCAAATTTATTAAAGTTAAAACCATAAATTTAAATTTGAAAATTCAATCCAAATATGACTTTCATCTTATCCATTAGTACGACATTGGTGGTTGATACACTTGAAGTAAGGTGAACAGTCGGAGTCGTGGTTACAGTACTGACGCCTTTTCTTTTCTCCAATGGCCAAAGTTGTGGCAAACAAAGCAAAGAAGAGGACAAAGATGATGAACAAGTTCATGATGCTTCGGGCAGTACAATGTAAGTGAACAAAGTTACAATGTAATGTTGGTTTTGATCAAATGTAAGCTTATATACAAGGTTTTGTGGACGGTTTTCTCATATAAAATTAAATTTTATAGGTTTTTTTTAAACTTTTATGCAAATTTTAAAAATCTTTGACCTTTCTCATGCCATTTCAAACCAACTTTTGAATTTCCACATTAATTTTAATTTAGTTTTAATTTTTAAAATTAATTTTGATAATTTGAAACTACACTTTATCACTCTAAAAGTCATTTCATTACGATATCTATCTGCCCTGTTCTCAAATAATTTTTGCTCTGCTCTAAAACCCTATTCATCTTGCCTTACCGACTTTAATCTTAAACCAACTTTGTTTTGACTTACCCTAAACTACCCTATGGACTCTATTTGCCCTGCTTTAAAATTTTACTTGCTAATAAATATTCAAGCTATTAGGTTGTTCACATAATTCTGCGCCCCCTTACACAAATTTGCTTTGGAAGGGAGCGCAGAATTAAGTTAACAACCTAATAAGACAAGAGTACGCCTCAAAGGCAGCCTACTATGTCTGGCTTCGAGCTGACAGTGAGTCAAGTTGTATGTGAGTCAAGTTGTAGCAAATGTGAGTCAAGTTGTAGAAAATGTGAGTCAAGTTGTAGCAAATGTGAGTCAAGTTGGAGCAAATGTGAGTCAAGTTGTAGCAAAGCAAATTTGAAAGCGACAGGTGGACTGACTCTAGGCCCAAGCGAAGGCCATACGAATTTTATTTACTTTAAATTTTCTAAACTGTGTTTGGATAACAAATTGTTAAATTATTGATGACTTAAAGCATATACAGTACAATAAGCAGTACAATACAAGTCGTCCTAGTTCATCTTTTTTTTTATTTTTGTAAGAAGCTTGACCGGGCTGAAATAAATCTGAAAAGAGCCAAGACATTTCTAAATTTTAAAATTTTTATTTGAATTTAAATTGTTGTGAGAAAAAATGAAAAATTTCAATTTAACAAAGGCTAGGCTGCTTTAAAAACACATTAAAATGTCCACAAAAACCAAAATAAAATTGTATATAAACAGCTAGTTCTATCAACATTAACATTACTTTGTGATTCAGTAGTTATAACTTTACATTTGGCTGTAAAAGTTACATCTCAATTAAAAAAAAATGAAATTGTTACCTATTGTTGTGCTTTTCTTGGCATTTTGTGCTTTAATCTTTGCCAAAGAATGCAAAACTGAAAAGGATTGTCCAGCTACTATGGGAGTTTTTAATTATGAGTGTGTTGAAGGACATTGCAGAGACTTTATATATTGTCGAGACGACAAAGATTGCCTACTACCTTCTTTTTGTCACAAACATAAATGTGGAATGATGCCATTCGTTGGTAATTGAAGTATGATTGAATGGTGTGTATACGTCTAATAAACTTTTAATGGCGTATATACGTCTAATAATGATCATATTATTATAGAAAAGTAGGGTGACCAAGGGAAGGACACGGTACAGTAGCGCATGGTAGAAAAGAGTCAGAAAAGAGTAGGGTACCAGTAATGTAAAGCGCGGGTAAGCTATGACAAGGCAGGGTAAAGTAAAAAAAGAGCACGGCTAGAGCTAGGGAAGGTCTAGGACAAGGTCGGGCTAGGCTAAGAATGGCTGGGTAGGGTAGGGTAGGGTAGGGTAGGGTAGGGTAGGGTAGGGTAGGGTAAGGTAGGGTAGGGTAGGGTAGGGTAGAATAGGGTAGGGTAGGGTAAGGTAGGGTAGGGTAGGGTAGGGTAGGGTAGGGTAGGATAGAGTGTCTGTTACCTAAAAACAGGTTTGATGATTGACCTTTCGGCTGAAGAAGTAGTCATTTGTTTATTTACAGTGTTAGCCGTCGATCATTAGATTGTATCATTAATTTCACCTTCACCTTTTCGAAAAAAAACATTTAAAAGAATGTTCCTTGGGTTGTTTGAAACGTTTTTTAAAAATTTTTTTAGATTTTCTAAAGTATTTCTGATAAGGGCATGGCAATTTTTTTTGGCGGGGTAAAAATGTTTATTCGGAGGGGAGGGGGGGGGAGGGTTAAGTAAAATTTACAGAGTAGGCTAGAAAAAAGATAATTTTAGAGCAGGATAGGGTAAGGTAGAGTAAGATAAGGTAGGGCAGGGTAAAGTAAGGTAGGGTAAAAATGTTTTAAAAAGATGGGGGTAGATACTATAGAAAAAAGGAGTAGGGTAGGGTAAGGTAAGATAGAGTAGGGTAAGGTAGGGTTTACACATCAATCTACCCTTAAGAATGTTGTTGTAAAGTAATCTTTGTTGTTTTTCGAAAAGTTCTCACATTATGTTTGTTATATGTTTCTGTTTCTTTTCAATACGAAATACGCAAGACAATGTAGTAAAGTAGTCAAAAAAACCATTTCACTGTAATGACTTTGATCATTTTTCAAAAAAGGCTATTCTTTTTATTTTCATACCTAAAAATTTACTTTTAAAGCCATAAAGCTTAAAAATTTTGTAAAATACGGTTTAATTTTAAAATTTTCCAAAAATTTTGAAATTTTAAAAATTTAATAGTATAGTATTAGTTTGTTCATAAACATCAATAACAGCCTTGTTTTAAATGGTTTCCTTGTGTTATCAACTTAAACCTTGAGGCTATTTTTTAAGAAATCACGAAACTTTGATAAGGGCTATAACCATCGAAAGCAGTCAAGTTTTGTTTGGCAAACACTGAGTTTTTTAAATTTTATGAGTTTCCAAAACTTTAAACTTACTAGCTTTTGATATTGGGTATGATGGGACGTTTTAAGGTAAAGCAATATTGCCTAGACAAGAGTAAGGGTAGAGTGGGGTAGGACAACGCTAGAGTTGGACCACGTAAGGGTTGGGCTAGGGTAGGGTTGTACTAAACTAGTGTAGGGCTAAGAGAGAGTAAAGATGGGCTGTGGTAGAATTGAGACAGGATAGCTAGGGTAAGATCAAGGTTAAGGTAGAATCGAAATGAGGGTAGAATCAAGGCCAAAGAAAGACCATGGCTAGGGTAAGATTAAGGCCATGGTATTATCAAGGCTAGAGTAGGACCAAGGCTAGCTAGTATCAAGCCTAGGGTAAGATCAAAACAAGAGTTAGATAGAAAGCAAAATTAGATAGTAAACGACAATTTAAAAGAAAATTCGAATGTTCAAGTAATTCAACTTATAATTGTCGCGCGAGACGTCATGTTTGTCATGTTTTCTATTATAGTCAATAAACAATCGTGCCTTTTGTAAGTAAAGAATCACGTTTTTTTCTATAAAAGTGCAAATTTTATATAGTAATTTTAATGTTTTGAAAGATCAATATGACATACCTTATATGCCTTTACTATGCGTGTACATATATATTCAAAAATTGCAGGCTTATACAATGTATGGCATATATGTGCAAAATTTACTTTGCTATAAGTTTTTTTACCTTGTCATAGTTTTTTTACTATAGCCAGTAGACCAAAAAAATTTTTTTGCGTACCGGACCCAAAAATTTGAAGTTTGGACCGGACTGGTCCTGAAAATCGTTAAACCGGTCATTGCAAACACTGACTATAGCTTTGTAACATACTAGAGAACATACTCTCTCATATTGATGTAAAACTTTTTTAGTTTATATTGTACTGGAAGGCCCCCAATTTATATTCCGACCAAATTTTGATAAAAAAAACTACGCTTATTGTAAAATACGACGGCTTAAACAATATAGAGATAAAAAATGTCAGAATTGGCAGGTGAGTTTAAAAACAGTTTTTTAAAATTCCTAGAAACAAATAGATCTTTAGTTCTTTGTTAACACAAATAAGTGATGTTTATATGAAATTACTATGATATACCACCTGGTGTTCATGTTTACATTACTTAAAAGTCTTAAAAAGCATAGGGTTATACTGTTGAGTACGGCTATTTTATTTTATTTGGTTGTTCAGATAATTTTGTGCTCCTTCTCAAAACAAATGTTTTGGTTAGAGAGCACAGAATTATTTGAACAACCTAGTAGTTACTATTACATAGGACCATTATAGATAGTATGACGTAATGCCATTCCACACAGTATGATATAATACAGTTCGGGGTAGTGTAACATACTGACTTTGTAGCTAGTATAAGAAAGTGTAATCCTAGGTAGTATGATACACTGCCATTCTAGATAGTATATAACTTAGTAATATCTTAGATAGTATGACATAGTGCTATTATATAATAGATAGTATGACATTATTATCTAAAACCTTATTCATTTCAGACCAAGCCCTATTCATCATGTCAGAAATCGGCAATGTGATCGTATTCATCGGCCGAATATTAGTTTTACTGACGATTGGAATAGTTAGAGCTTTAATCCCAGCAGGTTTCCTACCACGAAAACCTGTGAACAACAGAAATGTGTTAATTACAGGCTCTGGCAGCGGAATGGGAAGAGAATTGGCCATCAAGGTAAGCACTAGTCCTACTTAGCCTTAGCCTTAGCCTTAGCCTTAGCCTTAGCCTTAGCCTTAGCCTTAGCCTTAGCCTTAGCCTTAGCCTTAGCCTTAGCTTTAGCCTTAGCCTTAGCCTTAATTTAAGCATTTATCCTTAGGGTTACTGTAACACTCAGTTCCTAATCTTTTCGTAAACACTCGGCCTTGTCCAATCTGACCGTAACACTCAGCTTTACCATACCTAAATGTTATGGGGAGAGTTTAGACGTGCTCAAAAGTGCTTGCCAAGTTTATTTCAAAACCAAAAATAAAAAACGTCATTTATCCAGTCTGACCAAGTATAACATTGGTCTTCAATCGAAGATGGACTGACCATTGGGGATTTCCGTGCAAATCTTTCTCGGATTACAATACTCTCCAGGCTGACAGTCTTTGTCAGTAAAACAACCTATTAGCCACTCAACGGCTAAGGAATTGATAGCAAAAAAGGCGAAAAGCATAGTAATGGTCAACAGAAAGTTCATAGTAATCAATACGATATAATGTATTAGAACTTTACAGTATAATTTGGCAAAATTTTACAGCTTAATGTAACGAAATTTTACAGTATTTAATGTTATAGCTGGCTAAATGATATAAACAGCTGTTTATATACAAGAGCTTTCAGTTTAAATTTATGAAAATTAACTTTTAAATTGTTTTTGTAATCGTTTTTCAAAAATTAATTAAAAAATTCAAAATGCTTTTAAACTTTATGGCTTTTCAAAAAATAAAAAAAAGTTTTAGATTTTTAATTTAAATAGACCTGAGATTATTAAAAAAAACTACATCAACTTTTAATTAAAGTGATCTTTTCTTCTGCTCATTGTTACTCTAACTGTTCTACACAAACCATTAATAAAATCTTCTGTATCTTTAAAATTGCCTTACTGTGTTCTTGCTAGCAGACTTATCCCTGTAATTAGAGCTGATAATTCAAAATTTGTACATATGTACAGCGAAACTGCTGCATAACAAATAGCTCGAGGACTTGAAATTTGTTCGTTATAAAGGAGTTTCGTTATACAGGAATTGTAAATGCACTGTGCAGTGGTAGACGGGGCTAAAGTTGTTTGTTATACAGGAGTTTTGTCATAGAGGGGTTCGCTGTACAGGAGTTCCATTGTATATAGCTAACACTGTAAAACCATATACGATTTCCACTTTTTAAACGTCAAATCTTTCGTTTCGAAACCTAAGTTGAGCTTCTGAGGCCTTACAATGTTAGTTCGAGCCTAGGCCTGCGGCTCTACATGCGCCGCTTCAAATTTGCTTTGGCCCGGCTTGACTTCGGACCTCGGGACATATTAGGCTATTTTTTAGGTCTACCATAGCCTAGCCTTACTTAAGCTTTACTTTTCGCCTAGCTTAGCATTACCGTAATCATGCTCAATACCTACTCTACTACTATAATACATTACTTTATCTCTACTTTTCTTTCAGTTCGGCCGCCTAGGAGCACGTATAGTATTATGGGATGTAAATGCCGCGGGTAATTCAGAGACTAAGCGGATTCTTGAAAATCAAGGAATCACAGCCTTTGACTACACAGTAAACCTCTGTAATGTAGATGAAATTAATGAAACGGCCAAGAAAGTGCTGAGGGATGTTGGCGACATCTATATCGTGATCAACTGTGCTGGTATTGTCACTGGGAAGCGGTTTGTGGACTGTTCTGATGATGCTATTAAGCGTACTATGGATGTTAACACTAATGCTGTCATGTTTGTGAGGATTTTTGAAATTTTTTAATTTTTTTAAATGTTTAAAATTTTTTGAAATTTCAAAATTTTTTTTTAAATTGTAAGTTTTTAGGTAACAAAAGCCTTCCTCCCAACAATGCTAGAGCAAAACGATGGCCACGTAGTCACTCTAGCCTCAATCGCTGGTCATGTTGGGGTAGTTGGCCTTGTCGATTATTGTGCCAGTAAGTTCGGTGCTGTAGGCTTCATGGATGCCTTGCACCGTGAGTTGTACACATTGAGATCCAATGTGAAGACAACTACTATTGGACCTTACTTTGTCGATACTGGCATGTTCAATGGGGTCCGGGAGTCAAAGTAGGTTGTTTTAGATGTATATGATTTGGTAGGGAGGGTAGGGTAGGGTAGGGTAGGGTAGGGTAGGGTAGGATAGGGTAGGGTAGGGTAGGGTAGGGTAGGGTAGGGTAGGGTAGGGTATGGAAAACAAGCCCAAATCTTAAAACTTTCAGAATCCCCAGCCTCCTACCCAACCTACAAACCGAATATGTTGTGGATCGTATCGTCGATGCTGTTCTAACTGACACACATACCTTATTACTCCCAAAAATACTGTATTTTGTCAAGGTTTTGAATGCCATCATGCCACAAAGTGTCACCGACTATGTTAATGACGAACTTGATGTGGACAAGTTCATGGACACTTTTAAGGGTCGAAACTAAAGTATTATGATTATGGTGCAGTATAATGATGACTATAGTGCAGTATATGATGTTTTATACCTATTTTGTTACATTTTTTCATTTTTGAAGCTTTAGAGTTAATAAATATAATAATATGTAAAATACGTAATTTGAGCTGCTTTTGTGAAAATTTAGGTAACAAAATTTTTTTTTTGAGTTTTAGATAGTAAAAATGGCTTTTTAAATTCTTCATGAGTACAAACACAAAAAATTTTAGGTTTTAAGTAACAAAAAAATTTTAATTTTAGGTAACAAAAAATAACTTTTTTATTTTAGGTAACAAAAATGAGGTTTTTTATACTTTAGGTGCTCAAAAAAGTCATAAAGGTTCAAAACACAAATCTTTTTTATTTTAGGTAACAAAACATAACTTTTCATAATTTAGGTAACAAAATAGAACTTTTAGATGATATAGATCTTGGTTGAAACATTGTCGACTCCAAAACACAATTAAAAACGCTTTTTAATCAAGAATCAGGTTTACACATAAAACGCTGTGAATTATAATGTTTTAGAGCCAAAACCAAGTCGATTTCATGTGTAAACTACTAATCAAATGCGCAAAAACTTAATTTTTACACCCCCAATCACATAGTTATCAAGGTTTGGTTCATTAACCCGAAAATGACCGCGATCAGTCTTGTTTACAAGGTTAAGTCTTTGAATTTTTGTGAAAAAAGTTTTTTCTTATCAACTGATAAATACCTTTCTCGTGTCTTCAACCTTTCTTTTTGTTTTTCGATTCGAAAAAAGGTCTTTTATCAGTTCAAACTTGAACATCCCGAACTGATCAACCGGTTTTGGTGGGTTTGGCAACAAATTTGGGCTTGGATAATATTGATTTTTTGATTTTAGTTGAAGAAACAGAAGTTTTTGGCTAGGATAATGTAGGTTCTTTGATTTTAGGTGAAGAAATATTATTTTTGGCTAAAATAATATCTGTTTCTTCAGTTTTAGCAAAGGAAAATAGGTTTTTAGCTAGAATAATATAAATTCCTTGAGTTTAACTGAAGAAACATTAGTCTTTAGCTAAAATAATATCTGTTCCTTCAGTTTTAGCAAAGGAAGATAGCTTTTTAGCTAGAATAATATAGGTTCTTGAAGTTTACGTGAAGAAACATAAGTTTGTGGCTAAAATAATATCTTTTCCTGGACTTTAGTGAAGGAATATCTATTTTTAACTAGAATAATATAGATTATTTGATTTTGACTAGGATAACATAAGTTTTCGACTAATTGTAAAATAATAAGCTTGGAGGAAAAACATGTTGAAACTTTGAATTTGTTACCTAAACTTTTATCTTGTGTTGTGTTATTTAAATTTTTTGTTAAATAGATATCTAAACTTAACTCTTGTTAACATTTTGCGAGTTTATTACCTAAAATACTATTTCTCCGCGAGTGTGTTACCTAAACTACTATTCTTCGCGCGTTTGTTACCTAAAATCCTATCTTAACCTCAACTCAATACCTCAAAGCCTCATTATTTTTAGATGTGGACATTGGTATGGGTGTATCTATCTTATTTGATTAGTTTCATCGTCAGTGGAGTGATTGTCTTATCATTGTTTGGCATATCAACTGGAATTCGAGAGCGCTGTGCCGAGTTACTGTTGGTTATTTTCGCAGTAAGTGAATTTTGTTTGTTTTGTTATGTTTTTAGGTAACAAATGATGTTTGTTGAAGGCTTTTGAGGTAATAACAGCTGGGTTTGGCGATGGAAAAGGTAGTAACAGCTAGGCAAGGTAGAGTAGGGTAGGGTACGACCTTTTCAAATGGCAAACCTCAGGTTTTAAGCTTTTTAAACCAAAATATCTATTTTAATCCTTAGTTTCTGTCGAAAAAATAAAAAACTATAGCGTTGAGTAGCTATAGAACCTGATACAGGTTTTGTGCCGGCGTAATTGACCAACACTCGTCGGTGAAGGTTAAAGAAGATGCTAGGTTGTCCGCATGGGATCGAACCTTTGAATTAAATAAATTTGAATTTGTATGAATGGATTGATTACCACTGCACTAAGCAGGGCAGTCTTTTCGTTATTTCGTTGCGGGGAAAAGCCAACCGGCTGGTTAGAGGAAAACGAGAGAGTGGGAAGGGATGTTATTCATGAAGAACAAGTGGTCTTTAACGTTTTTTTTTTTGTTTTTAAGAGGTATTGGTTAATATAAGTAAGGGAGCGGGGATTCTAAAAGGTGTATCGATGAATTTAGAAGGTATGTAGATTAAAAATGACAGTCAAGAGCTGAAAAACATTGGAAAAAATCTTGGAAAACCAAAAAAATTTACCAAAAACCTAACAAATTAAGGAAAACACCAATTTAAAGCCTTAAAAACTTAAAAATCAGTTCAAAAAATAAGTTTTTGCCATTTTAGTGGGCCGCTCGATTGGAAGAAGAGTGTGAGGAATGCGATGAGAACGAGAAAGAAGGCCTAGAAAGCGCCGAAATTCAAGATTTTGGCAGTGGAGGCACAGAAAGTCATCGACGGCCAAAGAGGAAGAGGAGGAACTCACAGGATCAACGTAGGGTTTACAATGTCATTTTGGGTTTAAAAGTGTCATTTTGGCTAAAAAATGTCACCTCATGCTTTAAAGGAACCGTTCATTGAATTTTTTTGAATGAAATTTTTTCGCGGGTTTTCCAATGTTTTCGATTAATTTTTTGAGAATTTTTATTTCTAAAAATTATTTTCATTTGATTTATTCCTTACGGACGCGGTTGCATATTTTGAACCATATTGAGGTTTTCAGTTTATATTTTACTACTTTTACTTTAATATTCTACATATTCTTTGTTCTAAACTGTAAAAACATGTTCCTTGCCATAATGAAACCGTTTTTAAACTTCTAGTTCAGTAAAACTTTTAAACAATAGTGTAGGTCTTACTTTACTATTGGTTTAAAAATGCCAGGTTTCGTTAGAGAGTAAAGAGCTGCTAATTCGACGTCAAAAGTAAGTACTTCCGTGTCTTTTCGATTGCAGGACTTTAGATCACATTTACTGGCTGAAAAATATTAAAATTGAGATTGAGCTACAGAATATTAACGCGACGTGGCTGCCGACACACAGTTTAGTAACATTTTGTGTCTAAATGACTTATTATGCTGTAAAATTTTAATAACTTTAAATTTTGTACTACCCGAGAGACACTTCTTGAGTTGTTTAATGTCACAAGTGTTTTCAAAAAGCAATTCCGTCAATGTTTTCAAACGTATTGAGTAGTATGGCATTGTTGTTTTCTTTCCTATTCAGACCTTTAAAATGTCAAAACACCCAAGACACAAGCCTTTTTTCTTCTGAAGCTTTATAGGCAATATTACACTAGATTTTTAGTGTTTCTACAGCTTAAAAGTAACTTAATCATCTACTGTTTGGTCTTAAATTACTCTACAGACAATATGCTACAATATCTTACCTATTACGTTATTTCAAGGATAACACCATTATATGTGATCTAAAGTCCTGCAAACGAAAAGAAACGGAAATACTTACTTTTGACGTCGAATTAGCAGCTCTTTACTCTCTAACGAAACCTGGCATTTTTAAACCAATAGTAAAGTAAGACCTACACTATTGTTTAAAAGTTTTACTGAACTAGAAGTTTAAAAACGGTTTCATTATGGCAAGGAACATGTTTTTACAGTTTAGAACAAAGAATATGTAGAATATTAAAGTAAAAGTAGTAAAATATAAACTGAAAACCTCAATATGGTTCAAAATATGCAACCGCGTCCGTAAGGAATAAATCAAATGAAAATAATTTTTGGAAATAAAAATTCTCAAAAAATTAATCGAAAACATTGGAAAACCCGCGAAAAAATTTCATTCAAAAAAATTCAATGAACGGTTCCTTTAAAATGCCACTTTGGCGATTTTTGATTGAGAAGTGTCATTTTTGGGTATAAGAATGTCATAAAGGGATAAGAATGTTATTAGGTGCCGACACAAAGAACCCGCCTACTTTGCCTGTAATCTTCTTAAAAAATGGCGGGTTCTTTATGGTGGCAATTAAAAAAATGTCATCTCATGCATATGTAAAAATTTCGTTTTAGGCAAATGTAATTTTAAGTTTAAAAATGACGTTATAGGCTTGAAAATGTTACAGTCAATAAAAATGTCTCTTTGGGTAAGAAATGTCATTTTTGGATATAAAAATGTCATTCCGGCTTAAAAATGTCACTTTAGGCAAACAATTTTCATTTGCAGTTTGAATATGACACTTTATGTTTGAAAAGTCATTTTTAATAAAAAATGTCGCGTTAGGCTAAAAAATGTCATTTTATATCAAAAATGATACTATAGGCTTAAAAATGTCATAGTAGATAAAAATTATAACTTTGGGTATAATTTTTCATTTTTGTTAAAAAAATGCTATTTTGGATTAAAAAATGTCACCTTTTGTTTAAAAATGTCAATTTATGCTTGAAAAGGACATTATAGGCTTAAAAATGTCATACAGGATTTTGAAATGTCATTTTTGATTTAAAATGTCATAGTCAATAAAAAATGTCTCTGTGGGTATAAAATGTCATTTTTTGTTATGAAAATGTCATTTTGGTTTAAAAAATGTCACCTTATGTTTAAAAATGTCATTTTATGCTTAAAAATCACATGCTAGATTTCTAAATGTCATTTTCGATTTAAAATTTTATTTTGAATTAATATTGTTTTATGTTTAAATATGTTTTTTTTGTTTGAAAATATCATTTTATGCTTAAAAATGTCATACTGGATTTCGAAATGTCATTTTCGATTAAAAATGTTATCATTTATTAAAAAATGTCTCTTTGGTTATGAAATGTCATTTTGGATAAAAAAAATTTTTTATTCTCTCTATTTTCAGACCTGATCCAACGTCAATGGACCAACTCGGTGGACCGAAAACTTCACCAATCTGACTACGAAACCGATGACAACGGTGATGGTGAAGCCGAGGTTCAGAAGAAAAAGAACACCGTGAGCACGATAGTCAACGACTCGATGGAGATTATGTTGGCTGGGGTTGAGTCGATCATTGAGGATGAGGTCACCAGCAGGTTTAAGGCGGCTGCTTTACCTTCGTGGAACTTACTTAGTAGAAGTCGGACTGGTTATGGGCATGTTAAGTAAGTTGGGGGGTTGTTATATCAGTTTCGGGGGTTTGATGACATTTTTGATGTCATACGGGACATTTTAGATTGAAAGTGACATTTTATGATAAAGGTGACATTTTTGAACCCAGTATGACACTGTTATACCACAAATGACTAAACTAAAAATTTTTGTTTTAGCTGGAAGTTGATGACAATCTGGGGCCTTGGTGTGGCATTCCGATACTTTGTACTCGTACCAGTCAGATTTATATTATTCTTGATCTCACTCTTGTTATTACTGTTTAACGCTTTTTGGATTGGACTCATTCCTAATGAAAAGTAAGTTTACCTAATCCTACTTTTACGTTTACTTTTACTCCTACCCTGTGTTTTGGCGGACCGGTCCGCGGATGGGTCCGGTCCGGACCGAAACAAAAATTTTTTTCCGGGCCGGACCCAAAAGTTTGAAAGTTTAGACCGGACCCGAAAATCGCCGGACCGGACCGGTGAAAAACGCTCCGACCGCTCCGGGCAAGACACTGCCCCTACCCTTACGTTGCTCTACCCTACTATCTTAATTACTGCTCCTAGCCTTTAACTTTGCCTTTACCTCTACTTTACTCCTAAATCTAGCCTACCCTTTAATCGGCTTAGGTTTAACAAGCTTAGACTTGTAGGCTTAGTGTTAGAGTTTTATAATTAGTAGGCTTACACTTGGCAGGTTGGTTTTTCTAAATTAATACTTAGTTTTACTCTGCCTTCTTCTGTTTTATGCTTTGGATTATACTTTACTCTGCCTTGCTTACTCCCGGCTCTTCTTCTATCGTCACCTTGCTTTTACCTTATTATAAAACTTCTTGTAATTAGACGTTAAGACTTGTATTTTACTATAGTTTGTCATTTTTTAGTAATATTGATGTTTTAGTGTTCGAATCGTATGCAACAAGTACAGTATGTTGATGTTCTCCAGGATTTTGTCCAGAGCTTTCTCTTCGATTATCGTTTTCCATGACAAGTAAGGTTAAGATTGGTATATTATATTATAGTAGGCATTAACAAAAAGTTTTTGTTTGAACAAGGATTTTTAATTTAATTTTGAATTTTCCGAAATTTCAAATTTTTATAAATTTCGATTTTTTGAAAAATTTTTAAAAAATTTATAAAATTTAAAATTTCAGACAAAACCGCCCTAAAAGTGGAATATGCGTAGCCAATCACACCAGCCCAATTGATGTTATGATACTGAGTACTGACAATGTTTATGCTATGATTGGTCAAAGACAAGGTGGCATTCTTGGGCTGGTGCAGACGGCTGTCAGCAGATCAGCTCATCATATTTGGTTCGAGAGGAGCGAGGCCAAGGATAGGAATGTGGTCAGGACTACTCTGAGGTAGGGTTTTTGGATTTTTAGGCTTTCTTCCATTTTCTGTTTTGTAAAGAAAGTTCTTGCCACTTTTTATTCTGTAAAGAAAGTTCTTGTCATTTGATATCCTGTAAAGAAAGTTCTTGCCATTTTTTGTTTTGAAAAGAAAGTTCTTCCTGTCTTCGTTTCTGTAAAGAAAGTTCTTGCTATCTTCGGATCTGTAAAGAAAGTTCTTGCAATTTTTTGTTTTGTAAAGAAAGTTCTTGTCATTGTTTATTTTGTAAAGAAAGTTCTTGCTATTTTTCGCTCTGTAAAGAAAGTTCTTGCTATTTTTCAATTTGTAAAGAAAGTTCTTGTCATTTTAATTTTAAAATTTAAATTTTAGAGAACACGTTGAAGACCCTAAGAAACTTCCGATTCTGATCTTCCCAGAAGGCACGTGCATCAACAACACCTCAGTCATGATGTTCAAGAAGGGTTCATTCGAAGTGGCAGACTCGGTTCATCCCATCGCTATGAAGTATGACAATAGACTTGGTGATGCTTTCTGGAACAGCTCGGCTCAAGGATACTTTTCCTACCTCATGTCTATGATGACTTCTTGGGCTTTGATGTGTCAGGTGGGGGATTGTGAAGGTTTTGGAGGAGTAGAGTAGGGTAGGATTAGACTAAAAAAGTTCATGGTATGATTAGAGGGGGGTTACGGTAGAGTAGTAGGGCTTTGATTGGTACGTATTTGAACACGTTGATATATGTTTAATCTTTGCAGGTATGGTACCTACCACCAATGAAACGAGAGCCAGGAGAGGATGCAGCGGTCTTTGCCAGAAGAGTCAAACGAGTAATCGCTCAACAAGGCGGCCTGGTCGATTTGGAATGGGATGGAAATTTGAAGCGGACTATGGTAAGGAATCCTGTTTTATTTCTCTAATGTTTGATTCGTACAATTTAAAGTCATAAAAATTAATAATATAGGGGTAGAGGGGACAAAGTTTAGTAGGCTTAGGTTCAGTAGCCTCTGCCTTAGGCTATTAGCCTTTTCTTTACAAAGTTAAGATGGTTAAGAAGTGCTGCACTTCAGTAAATGAGATTAAAATTACCCTTTGATCTACCCTACTCATCCCTCGAAGAAAACTTGAGCTAAATTGCCATACTCGCTGTAATTTGTTGGGTCGTTTTACATCGAGGCAAATGTTATATAAATCCTTAATATGACATAAGAAACCGTTGCGTAATACCATTTCTTGCAATTCCTCTAAGGCTATCTTATTGTATCATAAAGCTGGGTAACAGCGCATAATTTTTTTCAATACTGTTTATGTAATCAACTTTCAGGATAGGGCCGGGTAGGCTAGTGAAATATACGCTAGGAGAGGGTAGAGGTAGGGGTAAAACGAAGGGGCTGGGGTATGAGTAGGGTAGGGTAGGGGTGGGAATAGGGTAGGGTAGGGGTGGGAGTAGGGGCAGGGGCAAAAGATAGGGGTAGGGTAAAGCAGAGCATGGACTGGGTATGAGAAGGGAATTTAAGATAAAGCAGGGTAAAGTAAGGTACAGTAGGGTAGAGTAAAATAGTTTAGGGTAGGGTGGGGTAAATTAGGGTAGGGTAGGATAGGATATGGTGTGGTAGGGTAGGGTAGCGTAAGGTAAGGTAAGGTAGGGTTTAACCTCAAAACTTGTGGCACCGGTATACGGTAGTAATTCCTCGGCAGTACTAATAGTATAATACTTTATGACTATTTTTACTCAGACTTACTGTTGTTTTCTATAATCTTAAACTTTAGGTACCAGAAAAGCTAAAAGACGCCCAAAAAGAGCTGTTTTACCAATACCTATACCGTACCACATCGATCGCTGGCGAACTTTCGGCCGAAGAAATCGAAATCATCAAACAGTTTGAGCAGGTAGGCTTATCTTTGACCTTATCAATGGCAAATTTCAAAATATTGAAAACTCGAAAGTTGAAAAAATGACATTTCCCATCTTGTAGGAGCATAATATGTCCGAACAAGATGCATTTGAAGATGACAAACATGATAGACCTCTGCATCTCAAGTCCGACTAATCGTTGGTTACTTGTAGTTATGGCGTTACTTCACTTTACAATTTTTTATCTTGTAGTACTTGTATAGTATCCTATAGTCATTTTGTGTGTTATATAGCACTTTCTGTGCATTTTTAGTATTATTAAGTTGAACCAAAAGTAGCGGGACACTTTTTATTTATTTTTTAATTAAAAATGTCCCGCTACTTTTGGTCCAGCCTAATATATGATATCGTATGTACTGTATCTGATGTAAAGTACAATATTATTATTACTGGTCCCGGTTAATCTTCTAAATAATTTAAATTTTATTAAAATTTGATAACGGAAAAGAGATAAATGAATCGTTTATTGACATTAAAACAAAAATAATATGGTGGGTAGATGTCGAGTCTTTCCTATGTTCCGCCAAGCAATTAATCATGCTGGCCGAAACATACGAATGGCTCGAGATCGCCGTATGAAGTCCGCTTTGTTGTATGCCTAAAAGACAGCCGTGTCTTTTAGGAGGCTCTTCAATAAAGTTATCCTTATTGAAGAGCTTTCTAACAACTAAATATCGGCATGATACGTCGATAGTTAAATGTGCTCTGTAGAACTCAGGGTGGGATGCTAAAATCCCATAGTTGCCATCGTCCTATTTTTGGTCATTATCATTGACTTTGGGTATTTTTACTATTATTATTGCTTGAAAGAAGCGTTACTCGTATTAAAACATATTACTGTTACTATTGGTATTACTACTATGTACTACTTTTTACCGGCTACTATGAAAGGACAAATTTGGAGCGACCCAAGAGAAGCAACGACTCCGCACATTTGGATCAATAGAGTAAGGATTTCCTATGTTCGGCTTAAGGAGGGGGGGGGGGGGTGGGTGCTTGGTTTCGAATGAGCGTTTCCTTTGGGGTTGGGTGTACGGTGAACGCCTTGGGGTCCGTGGGTGTGACCTTTGGTGTGATTTCTTTCCTCCCACGCTATTGAAGTTACTGTACGTTATCTTATGCAAATTTCGTACTTTGTTTTTTAATTCTAGGTTTTATTAACGCTATAGTTCCTCTGTCCGATACGCTAGGGTATCTGCTGTCACGGCAGGTACCCTGCCGCGTTCATACGGTCAAAGTGGCCGTATTCGACGTAGAAGTCGACGAGGTGGCCATTAGAAGGGCCTGGCCCTTCATAGTTCGGCTCCTGGCCGATTTATTTCGCGACGACCCTATGGTGTACGTCGACAATACCGTCCTTTACATTGTCCCACTGGACAGTGTTGCGGAGATCAACAAAATTCACGGGCGAGGTCAGCTACCGATCGTCGTCTACCTGGGTCGCCGGTCAGCGACAGCCTTTAGAGAACACTTCTTGAGCCTGTTGCGTAGAGCGGTGTTCATGGACTACAGTGAACTTCGAGCTGATGACCCGACCTTTGTGTCGAGTGTCGTAGTTATACAATAGCCTATAGTCATTTTATTATACATTTTTTTTCTAATAAAGATTTGTTTTATGTTATAAAATACGGTACGATTTTAGTTAAACTTGTTAAAGATGGTATTTACCATGTATATCTTACTTGCTAATCGTTTTTATCAGTATAGTATAGTATAGTATAGTATAGTATAGTATAGTGTAGTGTAGTATATTATATAATATAGGAAAGTAAAGCATAGTATTCTGTTGATTACTGTACTAATCATCAAGATATAGATTTATTCAGATATGTTTGTTCGGATAGATCAAGGTGATGGTAAAGGCTCATATGGATCATATTAGTCCTCTTTGGTCATCTGAAAACAAAACTGCAGTAATTTTTTTGTACCCTACCTTACTTTACCCTGCTGTCTTACTATGCTCCCTCCCCCCCCTTCCTTCCTTTCGAAGTAACTAGCCTTATTATTAGGGTTGAACCAAAAGTATCGGGACACTTTTTTTGAAATATATGAAGTGTTCCGATACTTTTGGTTTAACCCAATAGTATGGCTGGTTACTTCAGAGATCAACCTAATATACTTTGTCTTTTAACGTATTTTTGAAATTAAAAAAGATCATAACCTACCTGAATCAACTTTCTCATAGACCTTTTTAATCTGTTGAGGTTGACATAGTTAACGGCCGTATCCAATCTCAAAATTTGTCGCATCGGTATACGGTAGTAAATGCTTGGCTGAAAAATGATGTTAGTACTAACTGTCATAATATGAAAGAAAAAATGCTATAAGTACCAAATAGACTTGAAAGATGGTGTATTAGGTTCTGCCCGGCATGCCAAAGCAAATTTGAAAAGGTCCGGGCTAGGCCGGCATAATGTGGGCCCGAGGGCCGGGGCCCAGGCCAAAGCTCGGTCTGTAGGCAGAGCCGAAAAATTGGGTCCGGCTTCGCCCTCTAAAGGTCTAGTATAAGGTGCAATAGTATGAAAAACTATATCAGTACTAACTACACTTTAAAGAAGGCCAACTAGGCTTGGGACGGGCCAAAGAAAATTTGAAAGGGACCGGCACATTTGGGCCCGAGGGTCCGGGCCCATCAAAAAATGACAAAAAAAGTGGACAGAACATTTTAAAATAAGGATAAAACAATAATAAACGCTCAAAATTACCTTTACTTTTACTCTGGGCTTACAAACAACACTTGTAAAACCTAATATTACAATTAGAAAATACAAAAATCGACCAAACTTCATTCGAAAATACTTTTACAATGTTCGAAAAGGCATTTTAAAATTTCAATATTTTGTTAAATTACCATTAGGCTTAAAACTACTAGGCTTTCTAAGCATAAGGATAGGAAAGCAAAGATTACTAAGCCTAAGCCTACACCTTCTAAGCCTAAGCCTTCTAAGCCTAAGCATTCTAAGCCTAAGCCTACTAAGCCTAAGCTTTCTAAGCCTAAGCCTACTAAGTCGAAGTCTATTAAGCCTTCTAAGCCTAAGCCTACTAAGCCTAAGTTTTCTAAGCCTAAGCCTACTAAGTCCAAGTTTTCTAAGCCTAAGCCTACTAAGTCGAAGTCTATTAAGCCTTCTAAGCCTAAGCCTACCAAGCCTAAGCCTACCAAGCCAAAGCATACTGAGCCTAAGACTGCTAAGTATAGGCTTACCAATTTGTGGTCTAATGATGACAAGCCTACTAAATATAGGTTTACTAAACTTAAGCCTAGTAATGCTAAGCTTGAGTTTAGGCTTAATAACTTAAGCTTAGTAAGCCTGATAAACTTTTTAAGAGTTTAAGCCTTCTAAACTCAAGTCTATTAAGCATATGTCTACTAAGCCTATGTTTAATAAGCGTTCCTTACGCTCAAGCTTGTTAGCATGAGCTTGTAAATATAAGCCTAAAGATAAGAAAAGCCGAAATGTATGAATCAGTTTATTGCCTACAACACTCCACAAACCAACAACATGACGACACCGGCGATGGCAGTAAGAGCTGGGAAGTGGCCCATAGCTGCGGCGACTGGTCCGCTAGTGTATTCAGTACTAGTGGTACCGGTCGAAGTTGCGGGCGGTGCAGGCGTATGAGTTTTGGGAGGGACTGGGGGCTGAGTTGGATGAGGTTTACCAGTCGTAGTATCACTTGGCTTCTCAGTAGGACCACTAGGGTCATTGGTAGTACTAGTCGGCTCTCCAGTAGGATCGGTTGGTCCGGGTGGTACCACGGTGACATTCGATGGTACGTCAGTCTTATTTGATGGTACTGTAGTTGGTACTACAGTATAGTTGGCAGTGACTTCAGTATAATTGCCAGTTGTTTCAGTTGTACCGCCCGTATGTGGTGGTACTGGTGGTTCGGTACTGTTGCCGTCGGTCGTCGTCTCAACACTGGTACTGGTAGGGCCGGGCGTAGTCGAGACATAGTGGAATGGTGCACTATCTGGAATTTTAAAATTAAAATTTTTTTTTTAAATTTAAATTTTTTTAATTTCAAACTCACAGTTGACAAAGAAAGGGTCCTGAGCGTTGAACAATGGAGTGAAGGACAGAACCTGTAAGTTGCCATCTCTTTGCGGACATTCAATCAAAGTGGCATTCGGATCAGAGAAGAAATCTTCCGTTTCCGTATTGCACAGTGCATAATCGGTTCCGTTCACAAACCTAAAATAACAGTTAAGCCTAAAATGAAATTTAATGAAAAATGCAATTTTTAAGCCTAATGTGATATTCATAAGCCTACAATGGGTTTTCTTATCTTAAGATCACATTTTTAAACTTAAAACAACGTTTCTAAGCCTAAAACAACATTTCAGGCTAAAATGGTATTTTCAAGCCTGAGATCTAAAACGGCACTTTTAAGCCTAAAAAGACGTTTCTAAGCCTAAACTGCTATTTCTAAGCCTAACACGATATTTCTAAGCTTAAAACGACATTTTAAGCCTAAAATGATATTTATAAGCCTACGGTGACATTTCTAAGCCTAAAATGACATTTTAAGCGTAAAATGCGATTTCTAAGCCTAAAATGATATTTCTAAGCCTAAACTGTCATTTTAAAGTTTAAAGTTACATTTTTAACCTTAAAATGACATTTTCAATATAATGTGATATTTTCCAGCCTAAAATGACCTTTCTAAGCAACATTTTAAGACTAAAATAAAAGTTTCATGAAAACTCACGATCTGAAGGTCCATCCATTGAAAGTAACAGGATAATTGCCGCTTTCTTTTGCACGATACTGCCATACCAATGTGTCGTTCTCTGTGCTGACATCTATGACACAGGTCTTTTGTGGTCCCACTTGGCCACTTACACACTTTTTGATATTATCCCTTTCTTCAATGACACTCACCACATCATCCAGCCGTTTCATGACGTACGAAGAACTGGTACCGTTTGAAGAATTGGTACCATCTGAAGAGATGACACCTTCTAAAAGGCTCGTACCATCTAAAGAGTTGGTACCATTCTTTTCTTCCACGATTACTGTAGTCTCGTTGAGGACGAAAAAGTTTTTGTAGAAAAAACTTTCAAAGATCAGGTCTTTGGCCGACGAGTACGGTAGGGTGGTTACTGTACCACTGAAATTGAAAGAGATTGGATAGTATATCTGATAGTATGGTATGATAGTATATTAATAGATATTACAAGTAAAGACATCGTAGGTATAATTAGTTATGATTTGTTAGGTTAATTACAGTATGGTACACATCATACTTACAGTATAGTACCTACTACAAGTATTCTACATACTGTAAGCTATCACATACCATTTTTTACTGTATGGTATGTACCATAAGCCCCCTTACGATAAAGTTGCTTTAAAATAACTTACTTCTGCTCGACGATATGCACATGCTTCTGATCCAAGACGATGACCGCATTGAAGAGATCCGGTTGATTGAAGTTGGGCTGAGCGTACAAATAAAACTTTTCCTTCTTGTCTGACGAGTGTCCAATCTCTATCAGCTGCTGACATACCCCGTTGGCTGAAATACAAAATGGCAAGAACCTTCTTTACAAAACAAAAAATGGCAAGAACTTTTTTTACAAAAAAAATTTATTCATCGTATAACTTGTCACTTGCAGGTTGCGCAAGGCTTACTTTTGACTTTTCATATACAAATTGGCAAGAACTTTCTTTACAAACTGAAAAATGGCAAGGACTTTCTTTACAAAACAAGAAATGGCAAGAACTTTCTTTACAAAGTAAAAAATGGCAAAACTTTTTTAAAATCTAAAATACAGTATCTTGTCTTCCTCAAAATTTTAAAAATTTTCAAAAACCTACAAACAAACTGCCCGAAAAGTGCGTTCGACCCATTACCATCCCCAGAGTACAACAAGAAGTAGTCCTGGAAACTGTCCCGCTTGACCTCAAGTGACGAATTGAAGTCCCAACCAGAAACCGCACCACTCAGTACCACCAATGAAGCGAGAACCACGGACGAGGTTACCCAACCGCCTCTCATCGAATCAGTTTGAAAATGGAAATGATCGGATCACGGGCCGCTCTTCGTTGGGCCGTCGGTGAACTTTGCTTCTCAGCTAACGTGAACTCATGCAAATTTTGGAGAGAATGGGAAAAAAATTGAGGATTGGGTCTGGAAGTGTTGGGAAGGGCGGGGTAAAATTAAAAAATTTTTCTTAAATTTTTTTTTTAAAAAAAGTTGTACTTGTTCTCCCCTGTAAAATTTTTTCAAAAAAAAATCAAAATTAAAAAATTTATTTTTTGAATTTAAGGTCAAGTCGAAAAGTTTAGGTTATTGATACCGGATTGTAATATTTTTTGATCTAAAAAATTACTTTACTGGCACTGATCAAGAATCTTTTTTTTCATAAAATGTTGGACTTGGTCCCCCCTGTGGATTTTTTTTCTAAAAAAATTTTTTTGAAAACTGATTTGACTTTCTTGTACTTTGCCCAATTATCAAACTTAAAAAATGACCTTTACTTTGTTTTACAAAAGTTACAGCAATTTTAAAAAGATTTTACTTTTTTATGTCGTGGTTGATATTGTACCTAATTTTTCCGCTTCTTTGAAATTCTTTGAAAGATTTTAAGAAAATATAAAATATGGGTTGTAAAAAACATAACATTTTGTGCATATTCTGAAATTTTTATTAATGTATCGGTATTTTCAGTAAAGTTACATGGTTTTGAAGTTTCAAAAACGCTATTTTTTCAATGTGGAATTGAACTTTTTTGATTTTGACTGTTTTATTATATAAAATATTGCAAATAACAAAAAAATTGACATTTATTTAATAAAAATGAAAGAATATTGTGGTATTATATTGATTTTACTGTTACTTTCATCTTTACATCATTTCAAACTCTTGTCGTATAAAAAAACTTTCGCAGTTCGCGCTCTTTCGGACGCAGTGCGAAAAATAAATTATCTCGAAAAGATAATTTTTCCTCGTTTTCAAAGCTCTTTTGGCCAAATTGGTGCACTTGGCAGGGCAAATGTGGTCTCAACAGTTGAGTACATCAAGGTTTAATCCGTTTAACATTGTACAACAATGTAAGTTTATTATTTTTGTTACTTGTTTTGTTTTTAGGCTTGTTTTTGGATTTCAAATGACTACAACCTAGCGGTATCGTATTTTACCTCAAAATACAGGGCTTTTTGCCTATTTTATTGGAATCTTTACCTTGTTTTTGTATTTTTCATTAAAGTGTAGATAACGTTATATATTTTTGGTTGGTTTTTAGGTCGTGGAATGAGGACAAGGTGGAGACAAGGCTACTTGAAAGACCTTTATCATAGGCGAGAATTGATGGGAGCTGATGATCCGATGCCAAGAAGTGCTTATCCTAACTGGTAATATTTATGATATTTTATTTTTATTTAATATGAAAGGCATTTTAAGACGAAAACATCAACATTTTTTAAATGTTTTAGATGTTTTAGGACATTGGATCTAAAATTTTGTTTTAAGGCTTAAAACGTCTTGTATAATCTCTTATTTCTTGCTTTATATAACAAAATATATTATGTTTTTAATATTTAATATGTTGACTTTACTTTCAGGAACCTAAACACAGAATTATCGGCCTTCAGTCATCGCGCTGGTGTAACTGAGCTTCAGAACAAAGAATTGGAGAGGATTATGACTAGTCCGACTTTTTATGACAAAGCAGAAGCTTTTGAAGTTGCGGACGAGTTTGTTAAGCAAGATAATACAGAGTTCATTGACAAAGGTGAGTTTATTTTATTAGTTTTTCTGGTTTTAGGTGTACAACATGGTGAAGATTGCATGATCTGGTTTTTGCTGTAACTTTGCTCAAAAAGTAGATAGAGATCTGAAATATTTTGTGAACGTAGACTGGTTTGTTGTTCAACTAAAGTTATAAAGGAAATTCTAAATTTTGAGATATTTGCGATGTTACGGTAGATCTACCGTACCCTACTTTTTTACATTTTTTCGATTTTTTAAATTTTTCTTTGGTTTAAAAGTTTAAGAAGCTAACTTAAAGTTTATTTTAAAGTACAAAGATAGGCTGAACATAGAATTAGACATAATATATATTGTTTTAGGTGATCACAGGCTTATTTGGCAACTGAGCGCCATTCTTCGTCATCAATGGCCCAAAGCTCCTGAAGAGTTTGTTCAAAGTGTTGTAGAGAAGCTCACATCAACCGAAAACCTTTTAACAATTGCGAATCAGCTGGGAATTCAACATCTGGTCAAAACAGGACATTATCCACCACAACAATATGAAATTGTGGATGCCCTGAAGGCATTGTTAGGAGCAATGAGTGCAAATCGAGTTCATGGCTTTGTCAACGAGTTTGTATTGCCATATTTGGCTGAAGTTGCGTTTGAAGATGTTTTTCCATTCAAGAATTCATTGGAAGTGTTTGAGAAGTATGCCAAGAAGGTGTGGAAGTTTAATAAAGTGGAGCCAAGGATTATTCATAGTCATGGTTTACATTCAGCTATGCCGTTATATGTTGTGGGGATATATGCTGATGAAAAGTTGGTTGATAAATGCAAGTTTTTTTGGGGGGGGGTGTTTTTGAGGTTTTTTGGCAGGTATTGCCATTCTTTGTTTTGTAAAGGAAGTTCTTGCCTTATCTTGATTTGTAAAGAAAGTTATTGCCTTTTTTTTGTTTTGCAGAGAAAGTTCTTGCTATTTTATGTTTTGGAAAGAAAGTTTTTGCCATTTTATAACCATAAACCATTCTAAAACAATATATTTCAGGTCCAGGAGAAAGCCTTTCGATAGCCACAGACTTGGCCGCTCAACTGTCACTACTTAAAATGTGGGACATCAGATGGAACGAACAAAGCTTCTCATTCCTCGACGATCAAATTACTCTACATCAGTTCGAGAAACCGAATCATCGTCTATATGACGTTGTTAAGGACGTGGATCTCTTGACTCAAGCTCAACTCTCCAAAGAACCAATCAACGTCTTCCAAGTGGCGGATAACTTTGAAAATGTCATCAAAGCGGAAGTGGGTATGCCACTTCATCGACGCCTCAGGCACAAATTCTCGCGAGGAACGTTGGCCAAACGTTCGTTGAGACGACTGGCCAGACCCAGGGTTTTCAATATCTAGGAGTTGAATCAATATGTAGGAGTTGTTATGGTTTATATTAAAACTTTTTGTTGGTATTGGCAGGGAGAGATAAAGGAGGGGTAAAAAAGGATGATTTTATTTGGGAGAGCAAGGGGAGGATAATTTTAAAGTTACAGAGATGCCAATTTTCATCAAAAGCTAAAATTAATGAAAAGTTTAAAATATTTTTGTAAGATTTAGGAATGTTTTTTTATTAATTTGAAAATTGTTGAATATTGTTTTGCTTTGTTTTTTTTGTTATATTGTTATTGGAATAAACGTGATTTGAATTTGAAGGATTGTTTTTATGTTTTGAAAGAGGTATAAAGTGTTTCTGTAACAGTATTATCTTTTATATTATTTAAGTTTAATAGTACCTATTTAACCTAAAGTTAATAGAGTTAATATGAAGTAATCTAAGTCTATCTCAACAAAGCCTACGCCTATTAAACTTGAAAATACATTTGTTTTTAGAATGCGGCGACTATACTTCTACACTCATGGTTCTACAGGATCAATGGTTTCAGGTAGGTTAACTTTTTTTTCATCTATTTTTTGGTTAATTTTGTTGATATTAGGTTAAAATCTCGTTTTATGATAATATAGGTGTCGTCAGGGTTGTTTGGAGTTTTTTGGGGGGTGTTTTTACACTGTCTTTTTCTATGTTACCATTCCCAGCTAAAACCCATAAAAACCAATTTCCTATACAATATAGATTTACATATTTATAATGCTAATCTGGTCTTGAAAACTCGATTTGTCATGATTTTATGACCACATTTTTATTATTAAAAGGGTAATTTAAAGCCGACTGTAAGGGGTGAAATTTTAAAGTTTTATGGCTTTAAAGAGGAAGGGGAGAGGGCAAAAGATGGGGAATGTAAATGAATGTACGATTTGAGTTATTGTAGTAAATTGTGGGACGGCATAGCTTCGTATTTTACTAAAAATGGAAAAAATGATACTTCGTAGCTTTGTAAAGAAAGTTCTTGCCATTTTATGTTTTGTAAAGAAAGTTCTTGCCATTTTATGCTTTGTAAAGAAAGTTCTTGCCATTTTACGATTCTTAAAGAAAGTTTTTTGCAATTTTTTGTTTTGTAAAGAAAGTTTTTGCCAGTTTTTGTTTTGGAAAGAAAGTTCTTGCCATTTTTTATTTTGGAAAGAAAGTTCTTTTCATTTTTTGTTTTGTAAAGAAAGTTTTTGCAATTTTTTGTTTTGTAAAGAAAGTTTTTGCCATTTTTTGTTTTGGAAAGAAAGTTCTTGCCATTTTTTATTTTGGAAAGAAAGTTCTTTTCATTTTTTGTTTTGTAAAGAAAGTTTTTGCAATTTTTTGTTTTGTAAAGAAAGTTTTTGCCATTTTTTGTTTTGGAAAGAAAGTTCTTGCCATTTTTAATATTAAAAACTAAAACTAATCTTGGGGCAGCCTGCAGGTGACAAGTTATACGATAAACAAGATTTTTTGTTATGTAAAGAAAGTTTTTGCTTTTTTTAAATTAAAAACCAAAATTAAATTTGGTGTAGCTTGCAGGTGACAAGTTATACAAAAAATAAGATTTTTCCCTCCGTAAACAAAGTCCTTGCCATTTTCTGTTGTGTAAAAAAACTTATTGCCACTCTAGCAGACCCAACGCGAAAAGGCCACAAATGTAATAAAAAAGGCAAATGAGTGGGAAAGAGCTGGTTACAATGAAAGGGTATTGAATAGAATAATAATTGAATATAGATCGTAAGAATAATCATTGCGCAAGTGTTTACATTCCAGCCAGCCGGCTGCGACAAAAACACTGAATGGGACCAACATTTTTTGAGTAACAAGATAATATGTTACTGTAGGCAGTGTTAGGGTATGGCAAAAGGTATAGGCTTTATAAATTTTAAATTTTATTAAAAATGTATAAAAGTGCAAAAACTTTCTTTACAGAGCAAAAACTGGCAAAGACTTTCTTTACAAAGCAAAAAAATGTTATTCATCGTATAACTTGTCACCTGCAGGCTGCGCAAGGCTTAATTTTGACTTTTTATACAGAGAATGGCAAGAACTTTCTTTACAGTGCGAAAAGTTTTTTCATCGTATGACTTGTCACCCGCAGGGTGCACTTGCTTTAGTTTTGGCTTTTTTATGTTAAAAATGGCAAGAACTTTCTTTCCAAAGCAAAAACGGAAAGAACATTCTTTACAAAATAAAAAATGGCAAGAACTTTCTTTACAATCTAAAAAATGTTTATATATAAACGTGATGACATTCTTTTTTGTAATTCCTCTGAAAATGCGTTCGAATTGTAAAGGAGACAGCTGTCTTCCCCTCTCTATCCACTTTCACATCAGATTTTATATTCTTGTTTTATTATTCGAAGATGTTATTTACTTTACTAAGTAATGACATCTGCGTATCTTCTTATTCACGGGTTGTTATTAGTGGAACTTGCTTGGGGTGTGGGTTTAGGGTGTAGGGTTGAGTAGGGTAGACAGAAGCGGCAGTTTTTTTTGAACTTGTTAAGAGGGGGGGGGGTAAAGATTGGATACGCATTAAACGTTTTGTAAAGAAAGTTCTTGTCATTTTTTTTCTGTAAAGAAAGTCTTTGCTATTTTTTGTTTTGTAAAGAAAGTTCTTGCGATTTTATGTTTTTTAAAGAAAGTTCTTGCCATTTTTTACATAAAAAGCCAAACCTAAGGCTGGTGCAGCCTGCAGGTGACAAGTTATACGATAAGCAAGATTTTTCGCTCTGTAAAGAAAGTTCTTGTTATTTTTTGCTTTGTAAAAAAAGTTCTTGTCAGTTTTCATCTTGTAAAGAAAGTTCTTGCCAGTTTGTGTACTGTAAAGAAAGTCCTTGCCATTTTTTGTTCTGTAAACAAAGTTCCTGCTATTTTCTAGTTTGTAAAGAAACTTCCTTCTATTCCGGACGCAGGTTGTTCTTGTTTGTGAGTGATTAATGTTGTTTACATTAAACTAGATGTACTTCTACCAGTCCCTGCGGGTGTATTGTTTAGCAATCACTTTACGCAACACGTTTCTTACTCTTTTTATATTAAGAATGGGGTTTGGTTAGGTATATTTTGGGTTATATATTATGTTTTAATATATATTTTGATAGTTTGGGTACTGTAGCATCTTTACCCAGCCCAAAAAATTTTGTTTTGGCTTTTACCACGCCTAACAAAGTCATTTTTTGGCTTGTTTTGCCTACGAAAAAATATTTTTAGATTTTTACTCCGCCCATCAAAAAAATTTTTTTAATTTTACGTTGCCTGTCAAAAATGGGTTTTTTTAACTTACCACGCCCTTAAAAATTATTTCTAAATTTACCCTGCCCATAAAAATTTGTTTTTAAATTTACCACGCCCTCGAAAAATTAATTTTAAATTTACCCCGCTTATAAAAAATTGGTTTCAAACACCTTGCTTATTTAAAAATTTATTTCTAAATTTACCCCTCCTTTCAAAACTTTTTTTTTTTCAAGCGCGCCGCCTAAAAAAATTTTTTTCGATATTACCACGCCCAGCAGAAAAATTTTATAAAGTTTACTTTTTTACTTTGTCCTGTCTCTCCACTTCCCAAATATATGTAATGGCCTAAAGGTAATATTTGATACCTAATTTTCAACACTTTTCTTTGTTTGTCACCCCTCGCTCTGCCAAATATTATCGATCAAGGTTGTGATATCAGAATTAGGAAACACTTCCTTTTCGAAAACAAATGTCGTTTTTAAATTCACTAATAGTAATTTCAAATCAGTGAGGGCTGTTTTTGGTCATGTCATGTAGTGTGGGGTAAATGGAAGATTACTCTTTTTGGGGGTTTTTTAAGTTAGTGAGTCTAACCTATTTATCCACAGCCTTCTAAGCCTAAGCCTACGAAGCCTAAGCCTCCTAAGCCTACTAACCCTAAGGCTACTAAGCCTAAGCCTTCCAAGCCTAGGCCTACTAAGCCCATATCTTCTAATTTTAGCCTACTAGTCTTAAGGTTTCTAAGCCTAATTCTAATAGCTTTAAGACTGCTAAATTGGACCGTTTCATTGCTAAGGTTAAGCATGCTTCTTCTAAGTTTATTAAGCCTAACTTTACTTTGACTATTCTGACTAAACCATTATTTCTAAAGCCTTAAAGATAAGTTAAGCCCAAGCTTGCTAAACATATGTCTACTAAGCTTAAGACTACTGGAGTTACATTACATTAGGGGGGGGGGGGTCTCATCCCTTAATCGTAAAATTGAGAAACTTGAGGCATTTTTCGCAATCCGAAAAAGATAATTCTTGTGGATGTGAGTTGGGGGGAGTGTTTTGTGTGTAAGGGGAGGGTCGGTTTGCTCGTTATTTCCCTTACACTTCATTCTAATACTACTTTCCTCGCGCGCCCTCTTACATCCCCCCCCTCCTCCCTCGCACAAAAACAATTTGAAAATTGCGAAATTTTCAGTAATTTTCAGAGTTCGAAATTCGAATTGGTTTTGTTAATTCCCATTTCTATTAGTAAAAGAAGAGGGGGAGGGGGGTGATCAGGAGTGGACAGTTCGGGTTTGGTTTAAATAAGGATGAGTTGGTCATTAGTGGGAAGTAGGGTAAGGGGGAGGAAGTAGGGGAAGGGGGAGTTGTTGATAATGTAAATAATGGCATCATGGGGTAGAGGGGGGGGGGAAGAGGGGGTTTCTTGGGACGTTTTTAAAACATTTTTTTGTAATTTTGATTTGGATGGGGGTGGTTTCAATTTTTTTTTGTTTGTAAGACGATTTTTTGGGTTTTCAGTGGAAATTGCTTAGGGCATGGGTATTAGAGGTTTTTGCGATTTTTATATCTGTAAAGAAAGTTCTTGCCGTTTTTCACTTTGTAAAGAAAGTTTTTGCGATTTTTTTATCTGTAAAGAAAGTTCTTGTTGTTTTACACTTTGTAAAGAAAGTTCTGGCTATATTTTGTTTTGTAAAGAAAGTTCTTGCTATTTCAAGGTTTGTAAAGAAAGTTCTTGCTATTTTTTGTTTTGTAAAGAAAGTTCTTGCCATTTTTTGTTTT